TAAAACATAAAAGACATTTTAGCTTTTGTTATCCCGTGTTAATAAATGCATGTACTGTTCAATCTATGTATGTTCTATATATCTTCAACGAAAATAGACCATAATATTTGTACAAGATTTACAGCTATTTATTACTACATGAATCAGAGAAAATGTCAGTATATTTGACTAATTTATATTATTTAACGCGGGGGTAAAAATGGCATGCAAAAAAAATATATCTCGATACACAATTCGAGAAAAAAAACTACGTGATTTCTCGTTTTTTAACGTCATAATTCAATTTGACTGCAGTAAGATAAATTGCAAACAGGAGCTTTAGATAGAATAATGCTTACACTATCATATTTAAATACATGCAGTCTTATTCGTTATGTAGCTACAACTAATATGTACACATTAAGTATGAAACAATTTTTTAAGGGCGGCGTGATTACGAATATTAAAATGGTAATTTTTTCAATTTTTCAAGAAACCGATATCGCCGGTCATATTTTCTAATTCACTGAACATCTCATCGAGACGCTGAAACAAAAAAGATAATATATATCAAATATATATACAAAGATCTTAAATACAAATTTGTTAACGCGCTATACTTACATCGGTTGTTTCTTCTTTATCATCCTGTGATACTTTATCCTGTAGCTTATCACTGAACGTTATATTTCCATCATCGTCGATATCTTCGTCTTCGTCATCCTGTTCAAAGTCTTCATCATCATCAGTGTCATCCAGCTCTTCATCGTCATCGTCGTCATCGTCATCATCATCATCGTCATCGTCGTCATCCTCATCTGATTGCATGTTACACGACACATCCATTTCATCGTAATCTACGGGTTCCTCTTTGATTTCAGTAAGCATTATTGTTTCCTCGATGGCTTCTGCCTCCGTTGGAATTGGTGGTGGGGCTTCTGACGCTGAAGGTATCTGAGGAGGTTGCGAAGTCTAAAAAGGAAATATTACTAATGTACCGAAGTATCAATTAGTACAATCAAAATTATCTTTCAATCAAAATTAATTTTCAAATTTCATTGGTTTCACATGGTTAATTATGACACAATCAGTTGATATCTTAAAAAATTTATAAATATTATAATATCTACAATTCTTTAAGTTCAATAATAAATTTTGTGTTTCTTATGATCATTAAAGTATTAACAAATGGGATAAAGTTAATCAATATACCCAAGGTTGTTGTTGTTGCTCCTGCACTGTTTTAGCTGACGTAATCGAAGTTGGTAATGTGGACGAATGAGAATTCGCATTTTGTTCTGGAGCTTGCGATGCTGGTTTACTACTTTGTGCATTGTTGGAGTTATCCTGCAATCGCGCCTCTGCATCTGTCTCTTGATTTGTCGACGATTTGTCTGTGTAATTGATTTTATCCTCTTTCTTCACTTGATTTCCGTCTTCCTTCGCTTTTTTAACGCCAGATTTAGGCTCAACATGATTCGCCTTCTGTTCCTTTTTCACTTGCGCGGCGTTACTGAGTTCCTCTTTAATTTTCTTAAACTCTTCTTTAACTTTCTTAAATTCCTCTTTAACTTTCTTAACGTTAGGTTTAGGTTCGCCAGGAAGACAAGTGTTACCTCGTTGCCGTCTAAATCTAACAATAATACTTCTCGTATCCCACATTAGGTCATGCGCTTGTTTGTAAGCTGATATCGATTCGTCTACACTGTTATACCTTATAAAAGCATATCTGTGCAACGAGAAATGTAGACATATTATTAGGAAGATGAAACAGTCAAAGATAATTTGTAGTCGTATCTTGAGAATTAAAGAGTCAACGTCTGGTCGTCGATTATCAATTATAAAAGTATTTTCAATTCGTGAAAAGTATTTTCATATTTAAAAATTATACATATTCTACAACTTTAAACTGAAGGAATAAAAAGATTTACGATCCTTTTCTTTTAAAAAAATACTGAATTATTTACTTATGTATATTTCTTACTTACCGAGTATTTCTCATTTTTTGCGCATACCCTACATCTACTCGTGCAGCTGTTGGAAATTTACTTTTTACTTCGTTTACATTAACAGACTCGGGCAAATTTCCTATGTATAAAGTGTAAGGATCTATTTCCTCAGGCATTGGGTTATCTTCGTCTCTCAACGATTTCCTCTCGACTTTTAAGTGTCCTGTGCCAAACTGAATTTTTTCCAACTCTTTTATAGCATCGTCTATATTTACATTCTCTGCCATCTGGATGAAACAATATCTTGGTCCACTCGGACTTTGAAAATGTATGTTTTGTATGCCAGGATGAAATAATCTAACAATATCCTTATTCAGATCTGGATCAGGGAATTTAATGATTAAGCTTTGTGCTTTAATTGTCTTATTGTATTCATTTTCAGTCTTAAGGGCTCTCTCCGCGTCTTCTCTGTTCCAAGGTCTACTTGGATAACTCTGGGACATCGGTTTTCTCTGCTTATTCTTCTTCACTACAACTTCCTCCTGAAAAGAGAAATATATTCAATTAAATCTATCCGTCATTGTGACAAATATATGTCGTATTCAAACATATTCACCGGTACAATTTTTTCATCTTGGTCCTCAGTTTCCTCACCATGCCTGCTGGTTACGATTCCTGTTGGGAGAGGAGGTATAGGATGATTGGGTAGAGGAACAGTCATATGGTTTATTATAACATCATTTGCTGTTGTGGTATAATTATTTCTTTGCCATTCTAAACCAAGACCACTCGCCAATGTTGGGTTAAAGTATGCGGTTTGTTCAAACTGACCCTGTGACTGCCCGACCCGTGCTGGCCTTCTATTTTTACGATGAAAATTATTTCTCTGACCATACATGTAATTTCTATTGTGAGAGAATCTTTCACGTCGTATGTAGTTACCTCGTAGAGGCATCTCTCTTTGAAACGTATTAGTGATCTCGCGTGGAGTTGGTGATGGCAAAGGAGATGTTTGTGTGGCTAGCCAATGCCAAGGAGTATGTGTCCAGGTTGAAATGGGAGTGACTTGGGAAGGCACTGGTCCAAATACATGGGGCTGGGGTGGGACTCCACTAGGAGGTGGCATCGCAGGCAAAGGTGGTTGTCCTGGTAGGGGCTGAGCGATAGTGGAAGGCGAAGTACTCGATGACGAGTAGTTAGCGTACGAAGAAGCTTCGAAATTGTAGTTCATTGATTCTTGTTTGACAAAAGTCCGTTTGCTTTCACTGTCTTCTTCGGCTACCTTCAGCTTCAACTGTGACGATCAGAAAATCATGAATTAAAACGGGAGGGATGCGTCGAGCCGTGCGAGTCCTACGACGTGCACGATCGAGAACTGTTTCGTTAGCGTCGCGAATGCATTATCGCGTGGACGATATTGGTACAAACAAGTACGAAAATAACGTCCGAACATTGACAAGTTAACCTAGAATGATGTTATTATCGAGCGACAGCGAGCGCACGGCGCGCCAGCCGAACCTCCGCAGCGAGGCCGCGGGCGAACAGAAGTCTGGACATTACCGTGCGCTTCATATTGCAGACACGTATCGGCGTAGTGCGATCTTACATGGAAGCAGCGTTTCCAGAGTTACAACGTAAACACATTGTACAGGCGTGAGCGAGCGATGAGCATAGGTAGAACGTACTGCGAGAAACACCAGGGATACCAACCCCGCGCGACAATTTTTGCAGGAAATAAATAAACAAGAACGACCCTGACCCCGCACGCCGCGGCGATCTCGCGGAATTAGCGCGTTATGCAATTTGTCGTTCCGCACGTTGGTCGCGTTGCATCGCGCCGTTCGCACTCCGGATAGCCTGCGTTCCTTTCTTTTTCAAGCTATCGATCTGCACGACACGCCACGTCGTGTGCAACATTCGTGCTCGACACAACGCGGACGCAACTATGTATCGCGAGATCGAAGCGAGCGGGCTTCGACCATGAGTCGCGAGATGCGAGGACCGAACCGTCACGGACGGACATTCGCGACGGATAATGGAGCCCCGGCGATACGTTCGTGTACGCACGGAACGCGGACGCGCGCACGTCCTCCGCCGGTGATTTTATCATCGCATCGCAAGGCCGACCACAAGATACGACACTGACGACGTTCCCCTCGACGGCCTGAAACACACCGCGTTTTTATCGCGCACGCGGATCGAACGTCGATTCGAACTTTCACTTACGCGCGACTCGCGCGATATTCACGATCTCGTGGTCGCGATAAGGTGGGTTGCATCGTTTTTGCCCCACTTCCACTCACTCTTTGCCTTCCCTCAATGGACACGGTTATCTGAGTGGAAATTTTATGTTTTTGTCATTTTTGTTTTAATAAAACTTTGAGTTGTTATATGTAGGCTCTAAGAACACGTTAATCGGGAGTCAAGAGATCATTTTGTTGAAACTTGAAGAGAGAGAAACTCGAGCAACGAAAAAATTATTGCGGAGTGAAAGAATAAGTCTTGACGAAATTAACACGTTAATTAACATTAAGGAACTCAAAATTATACTGTGAAATAAACTTACGTGCGATCATGCGTGCAGAATCTAAATGCTCTGAAAGCTGCGTGTTGCTTTCTTTCCAACTAAACTCTTCTCGAACGAAAACGATTTATGTTTTTCTTTTAATACGTTGCATATCGTCATATATGCATTATCTTCGCTCGGTTTAAAAACAATATATAGAGATAGGTTAGCAGGCGGCCAACATAGCGAGTGTTCATACGGAATGATCAATGACTTTACGTAGTCAACAACACCAATTTCATTTCGAAGGTCGTAGCTGCAACTACAACGAACAAAGCGCAATCTGCGCCCCAAAAGCCGCCGAAAAAGGCGCGTCGCACGAAAAAGAAACGTGGCGGCGCTGCCTGTACTTTACCGAAAGTACCCGAGGAGACAGTCGAAGACCAAGAAACGAGTGTGGCTGTTTTCAGGTCGCAGGTTATACCGTTGGAGCGCCCACAGCAAAGGGATATGGCTACAAGCACGGAAGAAATCGAGGTATATATTCCCAACGACGAGGATGGTAATCCATGTGGCGATACTTCACACCGATAATTTATTGAGTTCGATAAGGCAACGTCTTGATTTTGCGCAACAGCATGGTCGTTTTCGAACTTTCCATATCCTTTCCCTCCACGTTCCACCAACTATCGTCGCTCTAATGTACCGTAGAAAGTATCCTAGAAATGCGAGAATTCTGAGGATATTTTTTTTTGTAAAAATGTTTAACGACAGCGAGCGTTTTATCGGTTTTGTAAATACAACGCGTTACACATTTGTTGTATATTGTGAATACACGTGTAGGTCGCGAAGGAGCAATCTGGAAGAGTAGGTGAGAATTGTGTATAGGTTATGCACCATTGAGCACAAAATATAATTTCCGAAGCAACGTGGTCACGTTCAATTGCGACATGAGTACGTCGTTCCGAGATAAACAACATGAAAATTGTTTCCAGGAAATAGATCGGAAGCAGACGGAGACAGTGAATTCCGGTGAATTTCCACCCGAATACTTAATTAAACATCCCTTGCAAAACACTTGGACTCTGTGGTATTACGAGCCCGACAGGAGTAAATCATGGGAGGAGAGCCAACGGGAAATCACGAGTTTCGATACGGCCGAAGATTTCTGGAGGTGGTTACTTTTTCTTCCCATATAGCAAGTACAGTCTTTTTATGAAATGTGAATAGAAAAAAAACTACTTTTTATTTGCAGTTTGTACAACCACATAAAAACAGCTTCTGAATTAAGACAAGGTTGTGACTATAGTATGTTTAAGCAAGGAATTCGACCTATGTGGGAAGATGATCAAAATAAATGTGGTGGTCGATGGCTAATAAATCTAGAGAAGAAACAACGTTCTACAGATCTAGATAATTTTTGGTTAGAAATCTTACTTTGCATGATCGGAGAAGCCTTCAATGAGTATTCAGATGATGTGTGTGGAGCTGTAGTAAATATTAGAACAAAAGGAGATAAAATTGGAATTTGGACCTCAAATGCAAATAGTGAAGATAGTGTTATGGAAATTGGGTAAGCTATTTGAGAGAGTCAAAGAATTTTGTATAACATTCCTAAGTCACTGAATCATTGGTATGTTGTACTTTGTTACAGCCGCAAACTAAAAGAAAGATTAAGAATTACACCTAAAATGAGTATGGGATATCAAGCACATAAGGATACTATGGTCAAAGCTGGAAGTCAAACAAAAAATACTTATACGCTTTAAATATCTTTTCTTTTTTATTTTAATACTTATATTAAATAAACTTTAAATTTACATATATATATAAATATATATATATATAACCCCTATATTGTCCAGTAAGGTATTAATCTCGGAAATTAGCAAATAATATTATATTTACAGAGATATTTAAAACATAAGTTTGCATTATATATTGAGAAAATTAAATCTCGAATATGTTACATCGCAATTATGGTTATCTTTCCATAATAATGAAATTAGGCGGAAAAATAATTAAATTATTAATTAATAATTTGACATGTAATATACAACCTTATGTTGAAATGCGTGGTGTAGAGTTTACGTTCAGGTATAGTTTATGAAAGATATGCGCGGACGACTGTATTTTTTTGTGACTGGTGATAATTCGTAATTATGATGAGTTTATATGCTTGGATGCGTTTGTGTAACTTCATCTTTGAGCAAATAAATTCTTGTAATTTCTTGTAACTTTTTTTGCAAATATGTATATTTAGACATTCATATACAACACACACGCATGCGCGCACACACATACACACATTGTGAAAATGGATACTTTTTTTTATGAAATGTTAGAATATAGTATCCAGTGTTCTATTTGCTACTACATTAAATTTTATTTTACTAAAAATCATTTGGGACAAATTACATCATATTTAAATTTTCTTTTATATGTTAAAAAATATATATGCATAATGTTTTCATATTTATATCATGTATGATTTTTAATTAAACTTTCTATATCAATTTTAAACTTTTTAAGTTTTTTTTTAATACTAGCCATATATCTGTTACATTATATTATTAATGTATAAAATTTTTAGGCAGTTTCATATCTAAAATTGAACATAGTCATGACTCAGAGCTATCATTGAATTTAACAATCTTAAAATACACAAAAACTAAAAAAAAAGGCTAAAGTTTTAGTAATAATCATACAAGGATAAGGAAAATATACTTTATATCACTTATAAATAACAAACTTTAAACACGGAGGCATAAAATATACAAAACTTTACAAAGATTAAGTAAACAATTTTTAAAAAATTGTACAGATTCTTACAAATATATTATATATCTTTGTAAGTCACCATTAAATTCTCTACAAGTTCCTTAAGATCTTTGCGTCTTCCTTTCTCCAAAGCTCGTATTAAATTTATTGCCCATTCTTTATCAGACTGTGATATATAAGTCTTCAAGATCTATAAAAAAATATATATTTTGATAATTAAACTCAAGTTTAATTTATAATTTGTATACATAATTATATAACATATTTAGAAATATATTTATATGTGTAAATCTATAGCTTACCTTGAAACTTTGCTCTTTCAAATCACAAGGATATTTACTTTGTACAGCATCAATTTCACATTCTCTGATGCCTAAATGTCTAACTACATCTCTCCAAGACCTACCTATTCTCTCGCTAATCTGGAGCAATACTTAAATAAAAATAAAAAGGTCAAGATAAAAATGAATACATGAAGATTTTTTAAAAAAGTGAAGAACTATATGAGAACATCTGAAATTTTAAATTAAGATTAATATTACCTGCTTGTTGTAGTGATTTTCTTTTATTATCTCCTTCTTCTTGTTCAGAATGATATTTCTTTGTGGTATGACCAAATGATAAATTTAAGTTTTGTATTGTTGATCCATGTAAAACTTGCGTAGAACTACATGCACCATATGATTCAAAAGTTGATGTTACATTTTCATAATTCTGCAGTGGTACTGAGACTGTTTTTTACATAAATTATTATTTTAATATTTTATATTTTAACAATTTATTTAATTCAATGAATTATTTTACAATATCAATTAATAAGACATAATTTATTTGAAAAAATTTGTCGTATAAAACTTCTTGGTAATTCTACATTAATTCTTTTTTGAGTAACATAAATTTTAAATTAATCCATAAAACATATAAATAGTATACTCACTATCATCACTTTGGTACATATTATAATAAGGAAACGGTGGTGCAGTCTGCATTTTCCAATTTTCATATTCTAATAACTTATCCTTCAATTCTGGCTTGCCAATGTATCTTGATATAAAATACAGCTGTTCTATATTGTTACAACTAATAATATCTCGTTTCTCCAGCAATCTTATAAACGTTTCGAAATCTTTCGCTTTACTTAACTTGCGTTTCGAATCAATTTCATGTGCATAATTACACTTCAATTGATTCAAGATATTACTATCTACAGAAGGTTCAGCTACACTGAGAAAATCTTGACGAAGTGATTTATATCTCTCAAGCATAGTGTTATCTTTAACGTAATTAAAGTATATCAAAACCCCCTTTTACGTGTATATTTACAAAGAAATACCCGTCCTCTTTTCTCTCTCTCTCACGTTAAAAATATATGCGCATAAACAATGCGTCAAAATTACAATTGTAAAAGACATCTAGTGAAACACATTATTCATGATAAATGTTTTTATAATTGCAGCTAATTTTTCACACTAAACACTGTGTTAGAAATTCTATGATTTTCACGAAAATTGCGTATTTATATATAATAAATTTTGAGAATGTTTGATTATGACATATGAATACCAACACCTTCCTTTCTTCATAGGCTGCGTTCAGCAGAGAAAGCTGCTTTGCAACTGTTGTAAAATTCGTGAATCTGATTGGAGTATGCTCTTAATTTTGGTTAAATCCAAGAATATGTACTAATCAGATTCACGAATTTTACAACGGTTGCAAAGCAGCATTTTCTGCTGAACGCAACCAATGCTTGGCTGGGAGCGCTAGTAGTCGCGTGACTTTATGCCATTGCTCAGATGAGTGCTGCCGTCGTATGTTGTTGTTATTACTATGGTCGTGAAACTAGTTCATTGACCAGCCATCGTATGTGGATAGCACACAGGGCCCTATTCTTGAAATAGTTGCGTATACGTAAGTTTTACTGCACAGTTTAATTGAATGGGTTTCGATTGTCCACGGTACGATTGGACATAGATTGTAATGATTGGTTCGACCTAGTAATTCACTAGATAATTCTTTTCATCGATTAGTTATGTCCAATCGTACCGTGGTCAATCGGAACGCTCCCGGTTTAATCATACCATAAAATAGCTGCGCAATGAAAATTACGTATACGCAAAAATTTCAAGAATAGGAACCCTGATGTCTATGGCCTGTATTCATAGGATGCTTTCCAGTTGCGTACACTGTGTTACACAAAACCAGTTTATTGGTTGCATATTATCTTACAAGATGTTTTAGATAATATGTGACCAATAAACTGGTTTTGTGTACATGTGTGTCAAGATGTATTAAACAATTGGAAAGCAATTGGAATTTACCTTACAAGCACTTAAAAAAGCACTTGTATCAACGATAAGATATTATACTTTATCTTTTTTATCCATAATTGCACGTTTACGATTGGAAAGCACCCACTGAGTATTTCCGAACGGCTATCGTCTAAAGGTGCCAATACATGGGAGCATTCCAGCGTCGAGCGTTAAAGCGTTAGCCAATCAACGTATCAGGTTCCAGAAATATAATTGTGGGTGTATATCAGTGGACACGGGGCAATTGGACACAGTCCAATCACAAGTCGCTGTTCCAAGGGACCCTACAAATGTCTCTAATCACACGGTGCTGTGATTGGCTGTGTCCAAATGCACCGTGTCCAAGTGCACCGCTCCCATAATTGTAGTTCTTGCAGAAAGTGGCACGTTGATTGGCTACCGCTTTAACGCTCGACGTTCGATGTTCCCATGAAAAAGCCTCCTAATAGTATGCATATAGTGTTTCCGAACGCAGCATTACTTGTGAGTCGAAGTTAGCAGTCTAGTAGTATATATATGTCTATGGTTTGCACCCTGACACGGGCTTTATACATGGTATATGGCAAGTATCCATATTTTTCTTTATTGTCGATAATGTTCGAAAAACGTGCAATTATGGATAAAAAAGATAAAGTACAATATCTTATCGTTGATACAAGTGCTTTTTTAAGAAATGCTGCTTTGCAGGTAATTATTAAATATCTTTTGCAAATAAATAGATATTATTTAATTAAATTTTGAGGTTATATGGTGGAAATTTATTTAAAAATCCTAAAGCTGGGCAATATTTTACCTAAATTATTATAATTTATTAAATACTTCAATATAAATATTTAATGTAAAAAGATATATATTTTTAGGATATTGGTGTAAATATTTTAACTGAAAAAGCTGTTGTTGATGAAATTACGAACAAAAGACAATTAAGAAGATTGGTTGTTTTACCTTATGATTTGAAGGTTCAAGAAGCTTTTACTGAAAATATTAAATATGGTGAGTAAAAATTATTAAAAAATTTTAAACTATATGATATTTTTATGCTATTCTTATCTTATCATTATTAACTACATATTTACTATATTACAGTAACTGAATTTTCTAAGAAAACTGGTGATTATACCAGTCTATCTGCTACTGATATCAAAGTAATTGCACTTACTTATCAGTTGGAAAAAGAAAAAGTAGGGACAGATCATTTGAAAAATATTCCAACTACAAGAATTATTACATCTACAGTAGACAAAGAGAATGAAGATAATCTTAAACCACCAGTTGGTTTTTACATACCAAAAGAAAAGGTAAGATATTTTTTACAAACTATGTATATATACATGTATATATACATTGTGTGCATAAATTTGTTGGTAAAAATTTGTATTTCACATGTAGGAAAGAACAGAATTAAATATGGATAATAAGACAGATGCTTCTCTACATAATACAGAAGAAACAAATGTTAAAGAAAATATACAGATTACAGAAAATTTAGCAGTAAATAACACAATAAATAATGCAGAAAATCAAAATCAATCTACTTCATGTGTATCTGATGTATGCAATGAGTTTTTGGATGAGTCGGATTATGAGACAGCATCAGAATCAGAAGAATGGGAAATCAAAGATTTATCTGAGAAATTTGCTAAATTGGCATGTGATCCAACAGATTTAAAAATTGAGGGTGAGAATGAAGATCTTGTGGATGATATCCTTGCTCCAATTGGTGAAATAAACTTTAAAGATCAACAAAACAATGTGAAATTAATTAAGGATGAAGATTATGATAGTGATGACAATGATAATGATAGTGATGATGATGATGATGACGATAGTTGGATCACACCAAGTAAATATATTTTTATCATTTAAATATTAAGTTTTGTATATATTCAGATATAAATTTGTAATAATTCCTTTTTTTCTTAAGGTAATCTCACCAACATTAAGAAACAGATGGATTCGGCGGTACTTGAGGAAAAGGCTGCAACTGTAGCATGCTTAACAATGGATTTTGCAATGCAAAATGTACTCATGCAAATAGGACTAAATGTGGCTACATTAGATGGTAGAATGATTAAACAAATGCGAACATTTATATTCCGATGCTATGCCTGCTTTAGAACTACCAGTATCATGACAAAAATATTTTGCCCTCATTGTGGTAACAAAACTTTGAAAAAAGTAGAGGTTACATTAGGCGAGAATGGAGAACAACAAATACACATAAATTTCCGAAGACCTCTCTCAGCTAAAGGAAAGAAGGTATGTTGTATTAGTTACTGATATTATTAAATGTATGATTTAATGATATTGAGATGAAAGGAGCAGATAAAAAAATAAATCCTTTTCTCTACCAGTTTTCCTTACCAATGCCGAAAGGTGGAAAGCACTCCAACAACCCTATCTTATGTGAAGATCAACCGATGCCAGATCAACGTCCAACGCGTTTAGCACGTACCAAGAATAATCCGCTCGAGGATGATTATATAGCTGGATTTTCTCCATTTATTGTGCGCGACGTAAACTCGAAGTCTGCTATGTTGGGTATAAGACCATGTGGTGCTGTCAAATATTGGATGAAAAGAAATCCCAATGAATCCAGAAAGAAACGAAAATAAAATCATTCATTGTTAAATCGATCACTTATTATCTTAATACTTAGGTACTTATAGAAAACCCAGGGAAAAACCACAACAATTTAGAAGTTAAAAGTCGGGAATGTCACTCTTCATTTCACTCTCGTATCTCTTTAACTCCAACGCAGCGAATGTACCTGAGTGATGCTTTCGAATGCATCCTAATGGGAACCTTTGGTGAAGAGCTGCAAGGAGGTCGTTCAAAAAGAATTTTAGTGCAGAAAATGCACGTAAAATTAATAAATATAAAAATCTGTTATTTCAACATGTTGAAATTAATGAACAGCTAGGAAACATTCAATAAAACTCATAAAACGATGAAATTCATTGTAATAAAAAATATAACTTGTATATTTCTATAATTTATGATAATAACAAGAGGTCTGTTTTCTATTACTGAATTGGCTGCATTAGTTCTCTTTCATCTTTCTTCCACCAAATTTTATCTATATGTCTCTTTTTAAATTCTAAAAGTGTACATTAGCAATAGAATACAGATTTATTTGTCACCAAACCGTTCCGCTTTTCCGCGCAAATTGTGCTCCATGTAATATAAAGAGAAATAAAGTCGCGGAAAAATCCATTGTCACAAGTTATCACAAATTGTTCAATCTAACCGCCGTTACATTAAGACGTGTTCAAATACGTTCGGACCTAATATTTTTTTGGAATTCATACCTTGGTACTTTGGATGAAAAGACAATAGAGAAAAGTTTTGGGCCTTCCGCTTTTCCAACATATGGGAAGAAATGATTCAATTCGCGGAACGCGGAAATCTAGTAAGATTTTCTCCCACGTTTCCGCGCTTCATGCAATGGCACCCTACAAATTATATATAATGTAACTGATTTATAAAAATAAAATGTCCTCAAGAACTTATTTGCTTTATAAATTGTATCGAAGATAAAAAAAATCTGCCCCGAGTGAGGATCGAACTCACGACCTTAAGATTATGAGACTTACGCGCTACCTACTGCGCTACCGAGGCTCGTGCTACTTCGTTCTGATTCACGTTTATATTGAAGAACATCACTTGAGTAACTTGCTGCATTAGAATGAGAGAGAGAGAGAGAAAACCCGGTTGACATTCTCGACTCTTAACCTCTAAAATTGTTGCGGTTTCCCTGGGTTTATTGTGTTCTGATTATTGGTGATATGCTCAGTCCAGAAACGTGGAATTTTAAACCACCGCGACATGACTTTTCTGTAGTCAAAAGAGATTATAGAAAAGCAAATGTACCGGCTACAATAAAAACGCATTACTTCAATCATTCGGTAAGCTTAAATATTTTTTGTCTTTCTCAATTTTGCAGATTGTTTTTTACAAATTTTGTATCATTTATAACATTTATCGGATCTATGTTAGATATCCGTGGTGCTTCCCAACATGTTTACCGTTCCTAAAAGTTTACTGGATTCTCTGTCAGAAGATACTGATTATTATCGAATCAATGCATTATGTGCCTCTGATCTCCTAAATAGAGAATTTATTGAAGCTTTTGTTAAGAAAGGTGAGCTTGTCATTATTCTTGTTACTAGCTCATTGATATTAGCATTGTAAATTATTGAATTGTATGAAACTACTTTATATATAAAGATTGTGTTCTAATATTTATTACCAGTGCTGAAAAGCTATAGTTCATGTTATATACTATCGATTTTCAACACTGTCAGTCAATTTAGAAATACAGTCTTAGTATATACAAAATTAAACTAATTTAAGATCCTTGTAATTCACATGGATTTTTAGTCACATTTTTAGTCATTTTTATTCATATATATTTATACTAATGTTTACTTTTCATCTTTTAGGACAGGTCACTCTTCTAACTATAAGAAATAAAATAGATTTGGAAAACTCTATTTGTATCACTCCAACTGGGTATTTGGTAATCTCCTTGATAACTGAAGATTATCAATCACTTGGATTAGAAGGAAAAGCATCTTCCTTTGATCATGAACCTCATGCACGTTATGGTAAGTCATTAAAAAAAGATAATTTAGAATATATTAAAATTGTTTAATTATAATAGTGTTTTTTATTCTGCCAAATATATATATATATATATATATGTGTGTGTGTGTGTGTGTGTGTGTGTGTGTGTGTAAAAGTATCCCTTTTCTTTTTTTAATAATATATATTGTTAATAGTTGTAACAATCAACTTGAAAGATGAATGTTTTATTCCTACTAAGAAGAATTATGAAAGGGTTCGAATAGCATTAGAAGAACGGCTCAAACAAAACTTTGATGTAATAGTACAATGGGATCCACCAGGTATACATATTTTCTCCTATAGTAATATATACACGTTATTCATATACATATATTTTTACACTACATTTATAATTTTCAAGAAACAAATCTATGTCCATCATCCGTAGCGGCATGGTTTTCCACACACGGTTACAATGTTTATCTTTGTCGTCAAATATTTTCTCAAAGAACTGAGTATTCATTAACAGTACCCACTCTTCAAGATGGATGCAACATCGATAAATTTTTTGAATGGCTTGGAGTTTTCAGCATTGCTGGTAATATGTACGTTTATTTGTTGTACACTTGAAGAAAATAAATCTCTGTTCATAATCGATATAACATAGTATCTAATAATAACAGCTGTAATATTTTTAGATCCGATCAAACAGATAGCTATACCAACACATATGAATGTCCCTCTCCTTCTGTGTATGTTGGACAAGTGCAGTATCTACAGTGGACCGGGTTTTTTACACAAAAACAGGTACAAGAGATGTACAATACATTAAAAAAATACGTATTGTCGCAAGATAACCAACTGTGGGTTAGTTTACATGTACAAGGATTTGCAGACAGTCCTGTTAGTTGGGATTTAAAAGAGCATATGTGTTTTAATGATGGAGACAATAGTTACACAATCATATTTCAATCTAAAGGCGAATCTATTATACGAAAAAGTTTATGTTCTAATAACAGACAAAAAACGTGACAATAAATTCCTTTTTTTAACGAATAATTTGTACTGTATATTTCCCATCGTATTTTTTATCGTACTTTATCTTCAACGTGAGCCAAGGATTGTATAAGGAGAACATTTTTAAATAAGTCATTAATTGACAAACACTATACGATTTATATCATAATTTATTTTATCACGTAGAGAATAGTTGAGATATAGCTATATATATATATATATATATATATATATATATATATATATATATATATATATATATATATATATATACACACACATATATATATATATGTCATGCATCTTGTTTATATAATAAAATACCATTTTATGTATTAATATATATAAATGCGATAAATTAATAACACAAAGGGACAAGAGGTGCAATGAAAAATGGTAAAAGGCAAGCAATATATAATATATAGATAATTGTTTTATAACACACATCCATCTATAAAAAAAGATAAAAAATATATTAAATTTGTGTGAATATGTCTATAATTTATTGCGCAGTTCATCGTATTTAATTAGTATGAAAAATAATGAAAAAGATATCATATCTCAGAATAAAATATCGTTCTTATCGTTGTTATAAATCATTCGCTACTTTTTCATACACCACTTGTCTGTTTCATTAATTTATATTAATAATATATAAATTCTACGAGAGATACCTTTGAGCTATTATAAATACTAATTTCACATTTAACCACATATACATTACACTATCCTGACTGAAGCCTATCACAAGATAAAAGAGATCTGAATAGATTTAATCGATACTATTAGTCACTTTGCAACGTAATAAAACTATGCATCAGTGTAAAGCTGATGCTCATAAATAAATCAATATATATATAAAAAAATAAAAGGCACTAAAATTATAATTTAACTATGAGATCAAAGCAGTCTATTGTGTATACAATGAAATCTTCAGTTTAAGCAGGCATATTTTTGCAAATATTATAGTAGCAAACGTTTTTGTCTCTTTTACATCAAACATATATGACGTTTATGTATAATGTAAAATATTTTAGGAGAAATCTTTTCGAGAAGTTAAGTCATATATCTACACCGAAACATTTGAATTAATCTTCATATTAATACGTGAGAGCTATCTGAATCAGTGAATTTCATTCTAGAATTATAATATAAATCTTCTATACCTGAACCAATGGACATGCGAGACTTAGAACGCGCCATGAGTTCACCTATTTCATCGAGATCTCGATACCTGAAACACACGTGGTTAATTTTTCGTATATTCATCCGATAATGATTAACAATGTTTCAATTATTTGCTCAATGCGTACCTACTGACTGGTCGACTAGGATTTTCAGACGACTCTGAGGAGTTTTTCATAATTGAAAATCCATCGTCTGCATTAAATGACGCTGCGTTACCTGCGCAAACACGATTATCCATTGTAAAAACGTAATATACATGATCATATGTTCTTGTACAAAAAGAAAATAATTACCAGAGGGAAATAGTATGGTATGTTTTAACAAGTCACCGCTCATAAATGGAGATAAACTGTCATCATCGTCCGGTAACAAGTGAGTAGTCGAATCCGTTGCTGTAGATTCAACCATTTCCAGCCATTGCTGATTATGCGAACGGAACTTCTCCACCTTTATACGTGCTGCCCAATTCTTGTCGCACATCTAAGATATAATTGAAAAAAATTAATAGTTTGCGACACAAATTAATTTCGAAAGTTTTAAATCTAAATTACGTACAGCAATGACATCTAAACACGTATCACAGACTTTCCTGATTGCAGGATTCTTATCGTGCATTAGATCAATTAAATACCCAGGGGCTTCTGTAAATGATATTGTAATTTAATAAAACTTGTTCACACGCACATCGTTTAAGAATAAAATATATTTGCTATGTTAATACACGAGCCTTTAACAAATTCAGCAATCAACAAAACTGATAATTACCATTACCAGTCTCCCGAATTAAGTAATCTCGCGTCGAATCATGTTTTGCAATTTGATAAAACACATAGATAATTTGCAAAACCATTTCATCATCCTCTTGTTTAGCTATAATAATATTATATGATCAATACGTTTGTATAAATTTTCATTTTTCTGTATGTCAGCTTTAATATATACCTTTAAGAAGTTCAATAAGGGAGAGAAGTATGTCAGCCTTACATAACAGACGAGCGCAATCCTCGTCATAAGCTGCAGTACCCAAAAATATGACAACTTCGAGTACTAAATCATCTTGCGCCTTACCTGTGAATATTAATAAAGATAACATGAATATACATATTTTCATATATTTAAATCTTACTTATAATATTAGTAAAGAATTATAGTGATTGTGGAAATATACCTGGAACTAGATTATTGCGTATCCATGGTATGAGATTACAACGTTGAATGATTTGTGAATAATCCAAATCAGGCAATTCCAAATTGCCCAATACACCAATAATTTCCAATATAAAATCTTGAGAGTCAGATTGCGTCAAAGCCATAGCAAAATCACCCACAAATTCCTATTGAATGCACATGAATAAATATTATAGGCAATTCTTAAACAATGAATACGATATTTCTGTATTAGACTTAAGATCAGTGCTTCAACTTACAACAAAATTTTCTTTAGTTGATTCGTGTTGAGAAATATTTCTAATCATTTTCATTATAAGGGCATCCTGATTTCTGAATGCAGTTTTTATAAGACCTTGTAAACGGTTATTCTCTACCATCAATTGCGCATTCTTATTGTTGATGGCTAAATTTATACCGAGTGCTATTAGTTCAGATCTGATATGATCGTCTTCAGAAACCAAAATCATGCTTGTTATCTAGACAAGATGTATATATTATGAGAACTTTAAATATTTAAATTTATTTAACAATTTTGTAAAGACATTTACCATTGGAACACAGTCTGTATTTGTAAACATCGCTTTGACTTTATCATCCATACTAGCATGATAGAGTAGCCCCAGAATTGTGCTTTTACTTTTAATATCGGCTATGAATATAACATTATCATGTAAGAGTTTCCTTATTTCACATTTAGAATTTAGAATTTATAGTTAAAAGAATATATTAATTGGTTTTTAAAATACTAATTCTTACCTTGACCAAGTAATTTTATCCATTTTGGTAACATGCCAACCCTAATCATCCGTGCTCTCAACTTGGTATCAAAAGAAAGATTAAATAACAGTTTTAATGTACTTAACACAAGATCTGTATTATTGTTTTGCAAAAGCCTTGGTAACTTATCTATAATATTTTCTTCTGCCTGTAATACATCAGTATGTGAATCATTAATATATATTTTTCGCATACGTACGATATCTATATGCGCAAAATATTAAATTATTAAATATTACCATGAGATCTTTATTTTCACGAAAGATGGATAATTTCTTCAAGAATGTGACGACCAATATTAATAGGTCGGTGTTTGCTCGATCTAATGTTTTAATCAACATACCAATAACATTTTTTTTACGCATTTTTCTCTCAACTTCCATAGCGTTTTCAGCAATATTTAAGAGTAAATAAAATGCTACTCGCAATAGTTGTTCCTGTTTTTTAGTTAAGCTTTTAAATTTTTTACGACTCTTTTCGAGTTCCTCTTTTAATTTCTTAACGTCGCTTTCAGATACTGTTATGGATACTTCCGTAGAACGTCTCTTGACCTCATAATCTAATGGGCCTTCCATGTTCCAAATATCATCAATAATCTTAATTTTCCTATCACAATTGTCATTATTCCCTGTTGGGAAAAATGTTAAACCAGTGGTACTCTCAAAGTGCTTTCGACGTTTTTCCATATCCTCTTTCCATTGATCATAGCGACGTAATTCGAAATCGATTATATCCATACACAAAGAACCAATCTATAACAAAGAAAGGAATGTTAGTAAAGAATCTTGATTCTTAATTCTTTGATTTACGATTCTTTCATTATTTGTAACTTACTCTGTATTCAAGCACGATATTATGAAACTGGCTATACGTGGAAAAACAAAAAAAGATATAAATGATATTTGTAGATAATTCTATGCTGCGTCGCCAATCTTCTCTCAGAACCCGAGCTAATGCACTTAATAATGATTCTGCAGCACAAAGAGAAAAATCTTATTACAATTAACACTGAAAAATTATATTTATAACACTGAAAAATATTAAAACCAATATCTATAACTGTTTATATATAGTGAAATTTTTTCAGAGACAATGGCCCATATTCTGAATCCTCTTTTATCTATAAAAGTACCTCTAAAAGAGGCTTAGAACCCATATGATTGGCTGAGAAATTACATTTAAGGCACTTTTATCGATAAAAGAGGATTCAGAATATGGGCCAATGTTATTTGGAAATTATTTAGAAGCAAAATATAACAGCTCAGATTACCATTTTTTGTTAATTCCAGAAGATTATCAGGTATTCTGGCTAGTTGCAATATTAATGAAGAACCTTTAATCTTGCCAGGTATTTCCTCATATAACAACTCAATATAGCTATCAACATTACTAATGACTGCACGTTCAACTTCATTATTTTCCATGATTACTGAATTTGACGATGTTGGTCTTGATAGCTGAGAGTTACTTTCACTACCTATTACATAAATTCAAGATTTAATCAGTTCTTAAGATAATACAAATATTGATAATTTGATTAGAAATAATAATATCAAAGATTGTTTTGTATATATTACCTATACTGGTATCATTGGTCCGACGATTTTGTAAATAATAAATCAGCTGCTCAACCTCACGTAGCTTTGACTCATGTATTAATGAACATTTTTCAATCACCTCTTTGGCCAAGAGAGAAACATTTGTGTCCGCATTTAAACTTTTAAGTCTAATTATTTTTTGACATTCCTATAATATAATAATGATAATAATGTGCAATAAACTAATAATTTACCATTTATTAAAATAATGTATTATTTCATATTTTATTATTTTACATAAATAAAAAAATGAAATATATATACCTTGCGATCACCAAGCATAGGATCTCCCAATTCTCCTAATATCAGTGCTTCAACATCATAATTTACTACCAGAGCTTTTTCTGTTGGATGGACATCCAATGTACCAGATCTTACTTTCCTAAATATTAATAAAAATAATATATAAATTTTCTATTCATCTTATTTGTATATATCTATGTGTATTGTACTACAAGGTACATTCAAGATGATTGATGACAATTCATACATGTTATACTAAATATTTTATTACAAGTGAAAATCATGTGTTTGACAGATGACTGACATTTAATAGAAGCAAAAATGAGATGACAGTTCTTACCTTTTCAGAAATTTAGCTTCATCCATTTTTTTCACCGTATATGCTAGTTGTATTAATAGATTTTCCAAAAACTAGTTTTCTGTTTTACGTATTTATATTTTACACATATGAAACTTCTTTATTAATTTATCTTCAATTATATCTCCATGGAGAGGAGAGCCATCGAATACATCGGAATATAACCATAAACTATAACTGATATTGAATCGATACGATCCTTCCTTCCTTCAATATATGGTTTCCGGTAATTTAATACCCCAACGCCATTTGCAAAGAATCGATGGGGTTAAGCCCATTCTACAATTGCGTAAGCGTAGTCGTGAACGTAAGAGTCAACCAATCCGAATGTTTTATTCACTGATTGCTTTACTCTGATAGCGAATTCGGTTGCTTGCACTAGTGTGCACTGAGTGCGCACTAAGGTTTGTTCATAGTATGTTATTATATTTAAAGATTGTCTTAAATAATTCTCAAATAAATTCTCAAATATTTTTAATCATAATATAATATGTATAACATCCGTACGAATCATTTTATTAGTTAAAATGTTTTTAAATATGTATTTAATACACGATCTTAAATATAAGAGTGTACTATAAACAAGCCTTAATGCGCACTCAGTGCGCACTAGTGCAAGCTACCGAATTCGCTATGATTAGTGTCGTAATCACTTACAACTACTTACAACCGCGTTCACGCAATTGTAGAATAGGCTTTAAGCTGATGGCACATAGAAAAACTTAAGCAGTAAGACGTAAGCAGTAAGCGAATTAGCCAATCACAATCGTTGATTCTTGGACCGTAAGAAGAATCAACAACTGTGATTGGTCAATTTGTTTACTGCTTATGTCTTACTGCTTAAGTTTTTCTGTGTGCTACGGCCCTTAAGCGTCTTCTACAATGGCAGTAGGAGTAGTAGTAAAAAATAAGCAGTAAGTAAATAGACCAATCACAATCGATTATTTTTGAAACGTGAGAATGGAATTGGTCAATTTGCTTACTGCTTATTTCTTACTACTACTCCTACTGCCATTGTAGAAGACGCTTTAGACGACAGTTTCCCGAAAAATGGAGGGGATAATGTTGGTACCAAGGAAAATCTCTACACAATAATTTAAAGATCTGTTTTTTGTAACTGCACACTGCTGAACTAATGCAAAAGGTTAGAATGGAATACGTATACCTGCCTCACTTCAATTTATTGCACCAGTTCAGCAGTGCAGTTACAAAGAATAGATCTTTAAATTATATCGTGTAGAGATTTTCCTTGATACCAACATTATCCCTTCCACTTTTCGGGAAACTGTCGCCTAATTTACTAAACTAGGGTTGCGTTCCAAAACGTCCTTTTTGAGGAAATTTTACTCGATATTCTATAGTATATGTAACGTGAAATATAGATATTGAGTAAAATTTTCCTCAAAAAGAATGTTTTGGAATGCAACCTAGATTGCTAACAGGCTATCTAAAAGCATATAACGGCTTGTGTCCGATAGAGTTTCCGGTATATGCGAGAAAATAACCGCTACCGCCACATATTTTCACTACGTTTAGTCATAAAATTCTTTTGTTGAAAATGAGTAGAGCAAATAACGTCCAATACCATTTATTTTTTGTTACGACATTTTTTGATGCAATAAGATGTTAACTTTTTTGATTTAATGGCCACGCTGACTCAATTGTATGTGTAAGTACTCACCAAGTGACACGTCACACACACAGGACGCCGCCATTTTCTCGCATGCAACCGGAAACCTTACGTGACACACGTTCGAAGACCTTGTTAGCAATCTAGTTCAGTATAGACATCTGTGTATTGACTATTATGTTTCAGTCATAAATATATGCTATTAATTTTTTCTATGGCGATGGTCTTGAAACGATTCAAAAATATAATGTGTAGTTGTTTTTTACATGAAGATAACTCAATGAACAGTATACACAACTTTATTAACAGTATGAGAATTAGGTACTTACAATAAATATATTTTTTTAACTTAGACATGTTTCTAATGTCATCATATTTCTAACATATCAAAGCTGATAATAACAATATCATGCGTTCCTTTATCACGCATGATTTAAATTTTTGAAGGAAGAATCTTGTATGCTTGGGTATTTCTGTATATTTCTTTACATACTTTTCATTGCATAAAACAAGAACAATATTTCTCGTTAGTAGGAGTTTAAATGGGAAAGATATAAATATATATTAAAAAGAAATTGCTAAACTAATAAGTGCTTGTCTTTCAATATGTATTAATATATTTCCAGGATACTTGCTTCACAACTTTAAAATAAAATAAAAATGAGTACTCGAGTGTTAAATGATATTCATAATGATCTAAAGCAGCTTATAAAAATATTTACATCATATAAGGTATGATTGTACCTAGTTATATTGATATCCTTATATGTGTATGCAAATTATATAGTATTCTATAAAATATAAATTTTTATGTTTAGGAAGATGAAGAAGGATTTCGAAAATGTGAACGATTTTGCTTATCAACTATCAAACACCATCGTTACCTTTCTGTTAATAGTCATGCAACTAAAGAAGCTATAAATGCATTGGTCACCAAATTTTCAATTCATGGAAAATATGAAGTTGCTAAAAAATTTCGAGAATTAGTTGATACATTTTTATCAAGTTTTGATTTTGATCAACATCCACAATATGATCTGCAGTGGTGTCTGTTAACATTCTTATTGGATTTATCTACTGAAACTCACAAATCCAACTTAGAATGCTTAAAACTTACACATGGAGAGTACAGTTTTAATGTAGCTGCTGGAAATGAAGATAGTGTTATAGAAGAAATAGACTGGGCACAGTATTTAAAAGAAGGCCAAGAAAATTTCTTTTGTGATTATGAAAGTGATGACAGTGAAAGTGTAAGTATTTACAAAGAATATATCAAAATTTTTATTAAAATTATTTTTAACTTCATATTTTATATTCACATAGGAATGGTCTGAAATAACAGATGAGGATAAAACAGAAAATGATATTTCTTTGTCAACACAAATTTCTAATATGCAATTAGATATTGCAAAACAATCACCAAACAATTTAGATAACGTAACAGATAAATATTCCCTATCATTAGCGCAAAATCTTGAATCCAGGAAGTGGCTCTTATCAAATATTCAAACAGACTACTGGAATAATTTACAATGTCAAAAGTATCCTGTTACCAAACGATCTTGCAATGCAAATATATGTGATATTTGGTGAGTATATGTTCTTTTCAATATAAGATATGAAATAATTATCTGATATTGTTAATATATGACATTTATAGGCAAGAAAGCTCATCAGCTTTATACAAAATAATTACTCTCAGTGAATATCAAGTATGCAGAGAGCTATTATGGATGTTTTATGTACAAACACCCATGGTAGTGTTTCAGCAAGAAAATAAGTCAAGATTTTCAATACGTTCCAATATATCTATTCCAAGTTTGACAACAGTAAGTGCACACATAATAATATCACATCAATATTTTATTCTATTATTTGGATGTCATTTCTAGACTGCTTTCAAAAGTATTCTTTTACCATTCTGTGAATACTTTTCGATGATATATGATATTAAAAAATTTGGTACTGACTTACAAATGGATCAAGACTCAGAATGTCAAAGTCCTCCTTTGACTTATGAAGCATATAATGCAGCACTTAAATATCACATGTATGAATTTAATAATAAAGTTATCAATGTAGAGAAAGATGTTATGAAGCAAGGTATATCTATAAACTTATGACTTATTCACACAAGTATTGCTATTGCTATAAATTATTATAAAGTATTTCATATTTCCAGAGAATTGCAACACGTTTTTGTCTATATCAGCTAGTTTAAAGAAATATTTAAACACTGTAAAAATACTTTATGATATACATCAAAAAGTTATAACTGATTGGAGAGTTAGTCCTAACTGGAAATGTGCATCTCGACTTTTGTCGTCTTTATATTATGAAATGCAGAATTCTCATAGCATAGAAAGAATGAATATCTGTACAAATTTGTATCTACGTAGTCTTACAGTTTATCTTAACATAATTGATACATGGTTAAGTGAAGGACGTTTAGAAGACTGGAGAGATGAATTTATAATTATGAGGTAAACAGGAAAGCAACATACAACACAATTAAAAATGGAATCATTTGCTATATATTTTTATATGATATTTATATAGAAATATATTTTTACGTCACAGAATTGCGGAAGATGCATTGATGGAAAATAATGAACAGACTGAAAAATTTACGGTACGATTGTACGATAATGTTTGCTCGACAGATCCAATTATGCAATTTTTACTGCAGAAGGTACAACATATGGGTCATAGTATTGAATTACTTGTTTCTTTCAATCGAATTACCGATATATGGAGGATAGATAGTGAAAATAATGGTATGTAATTATAAAAATATATATATATCTTTATGATTATATGTACAAAATATATCAACTTATAACTTGTTACAGACATGAGAATCTCATTAAATACTGAACTTCAAAATAAATTATTATCAGAGATCTCGAAATATAGCCCATCAATTGAAGAAACAGATACAGCTGCGCTAAAGATAGTTGAAATATCATTACAAGAATATGACAATGATGTTGAAAAAAATATAATACAACAATTGTCAGATTTGCACAATCCATTTTTCATGAAAGCTATGGAAGATTATATGCCACCTGAATTCTGTAAAAATGATACAGTGGATGCTCATATATTTAATACTCGTAACTCTCAAATTCAAGAGGATCAAATGCATAATTTATATAAAAAGTATATATATATAAAATATATAATAAATATAAATACATATTGAGATAATTTATAAATATCTAAAATAACAGGTAATATATATTTTTCTAGGTTGCAAAAGATAAAATATATTTTACCATTGCAAAGTATCTTGGAGAATACATTATCTGAAATATTGATCTTCCGATATAACAGCGCTAGCAAATTAGTAAAAGATATTATGGTCGAGGAATACAAACTGCAAACACATTTGAAATTATTGAGATTTGTTTATATGATGGAAGCTGGACATGTGATGAATAAATTTTGTCAAATTTTATTTTACGAGGTGAAACAAATAGAAATATTGTTTACTTACGTAGTAATATATAATATTCTTTCAATTCAATATTCTAATTATTTATTTTAGATCGAAAACAATCAAATGTGGGCTAATTCATATTTTCTATCATGTGTCCTTGAAGAAGTGTTTTCTCAATATTGGCCAGACACAAGTTTACGATGGTCCATTATAGTTCACAGCAACATTAATACTCGACAAATATTACAAGCTGTAAATAATATAAAACTGAATTACACAGTAGAGTGGCCTATAAGTATAATGCTGACTGAGAAAGTCTTGGAAAAATACAATGAAATATTTAGATTTCAATTAAAATTAAAATGGGCTTTATGGACGTTAAATAATTTAAGATTTTGTGGTAAGTGATAAATTTGGCTTTGGATACAATATTTTGGAGCAACGTCTGTGTTATATCAATTATTTCTTTTAGATCTAGAAGGTTCTAAGTCCCCATGTATACGGGACAGATTGGAACAGTTTCACGTAAGACGTCTTGAAAGCCTAAAATTTTGGTTGCTGCACGCAATAGGATCTATTCACACATATATATCTGGTCAAGTATTACAAAGTCTAGGTTTCATATTGGAGAAAGTTCTAACTGAGGCAGATAATCTTGATATGATTATATCAGGTAATATGATTATATATTAGATATTAACAGAGAAAATTTTAATTTGTTTTTGTGTATGACTGTGAAATATAAAATTTCTGTGATAAAGCAATGATAAGTCGGATAAGTTTTAATAAATATGAGTTTGCAGTGCATAATGAATACTTGAACAAAGTTCATGAGCATTGTTTATTGACTGAAGAGTTTGAAGATTTAATGACAACTATAAATCATGTACGTATATGTATAAAATAATTGTGTAACGGCGATATTAATTTACATAGACATATTCACGTTAGCTCTCACATTTCAGATGATTGAAATGTGCGCCCGTATACGAGATAAATGGTCACGTAAAATATTATTAGCCGAAGAATTGAATGTGATGGAACATAGTTACATAAAATACCACACGTATCTCGCTTTAGCTTTGCACAATGCAGTGCAGCATAAGGACGCGGATTATTGTAAGTTTCAGAATTTACTGGCAATACTTAATGTATTTCAAGATAATTATCCGCAGTTCTGCAATTCAATCGATCAATAATTAGTATTCTTGCAAACAATTGTAAAGTCAGTTATCAGAAATGAGAAATACGAAATTTGATTATTATTTCAACAACAATAACCAAGATATATTAACAGTTAACTTATATGTACATATCAAATTATGATAATAATATACTTGATATTAATATATCATATTAATGAATGTCGAAGAATGAATCATTGCTGCATGATGATTAACAATATTATAGCTTCCAATATATATATAACGTTTCTCCCTTGCTTTATTTACAGTGACTGGCTTAAGTTCAGCCTTTAACTGCAGTATACCATGTGCTTAGTTTTATATTAATAGAGAATGCCAACTCGTTCCACAATTTAACAACATTACCAGTGTGATTTCTGATTTCTCCATTGTGGGATTAACATCGACAAATTTCACTTCATTTGTTTTTTTCACTTCAATTACCGCTTTATACTACAATTGTGAACTTTTCATATAGTATTTGGCTATGCTATTGTTCCTAGATCAATGTACTGTTATTTTATTAATATTCTTTATTTTTTTATACTAATTATTTTAGATTTAAATATATTACATAGATACTTGTAATATATTGGTATAATTGTAGGGAAGATTATATATTTGATATTAAAATTATTGATTTTATATACATAAATGTGAGAGAAAGAGAGATATGTTAATTTACTTTAAAAAATAAAAATTGAGTAATTGTACTTGATTAACTCCACAGTAATAACTTTAATTGATATTTCTTATTCCATATTTCAACATTTTGTCTCCTATTCCTTATAATTTAATCCCTTCCAGATAAATTGATCCCAACTTCCACAGTCTGTACTAGTAGTAAATCACTCAAAGACAATGACAAATTTATTAAACTTATTACTGACCTTAGTCGAACTTTATTAACGGAAATTGCACATCAAAGTTTACCACCATCAGGCATTCCTCTTCCAATACCAAAATTAATTCATGGGAAAAATTGGCAAATCAGGTAAAAACAAGATGGCTTATGTATATTACACATTACGTATGTATATTGTAAGTTAAAATATACGAAATTACCTGTTTTTTGAAATTTCAGTTCAGAATCGTTATTATCTGTTGAAGTCTCTTTAAATAAATATGAACAAACTTTTTCCTATATACGTTGGTATCAATATAAGGAACAATCTACTATTCTGAATTCGTCATATAACTTTCATGATGAGATAAAAGATATCGCCGTCGATTCGTGACATTGTAGAAACGAAGATTTTAAACAGAAATGCGGATTTAAATATTTATACATGTATATATATATACATACACACACACACACACACACATGTATGTGTATATATATATACACATATATGTATATATACTATATATTATTTTCCATTCATATACACGACATCGCATTACAAAAAGTAACAACTAATAATATATATGCATTTAAATTTCTCCTAGTTAACAAATTATGAAAGTGTTGCCATTGGTAACTTAGGATTAGTGTGTGTGTGTGTGTATTTTATCTTATACAAATATATTTAAAATCATATATTAGTAATATGATTACTTAATATAAATTATCTTTTATATGAAAAATACGCATTTAATAATATTTTATAAAAAAAGGCTATTATGAAAGAGAGAGAGTAAAATATAAGAGTTTATGAAACATCTGCAGAAAATGAAGAGATATGACCTCTACATAAGTAGTAATAAAATTAATACATTATATACATTTATGTGAGAAATTTTTAATACATTGCACATAAGAATTAACTCTGTGCAATCACAACAGCACCATTTTGACCAATGGCTCCACTTTGTGCTCCGGTAGGAGCATTTGATGTTTCATTAGTACTAACAGGAGAAGATGAATGATTGGTTGCATTTGTTGCAGCTAACGCCTTGTTCCGTAATTCAAAAACTTGTTGTATCGCCTTACGAAAACAAAGGAAGTTATAATCAATTACACCTGCAAATTAAAAAAAAAGTTAACATTTCTTTAATATTTATATATAAATATTTAGCATAATGTGTAATTTACATGCTCCTTATATTGTATAGATTTACTCACCTTGCCTATCAAAATTATCTTCACGTAAGATGCAGACCAATGCCAAAAATTTGTTCACTTCACGCAAGTACAAAATTGTACCATTATTTAGCTTAATTAAACTGGAACTTTGGTTGTCAAATGCAGCTGCTTCCAAATCTTCTCTTAATCTAAACAAAAAAATAAATAAATAAATAAAAATACAAACATGAAGGGAAAAATATAAATACACAATTAATAAAATACATATACAATTGCGTATAATTAAAGTATAACTATTTACCCATATATACAGGAAACATCAATAACAACATCAATCATGTCACAACATAACTCATAACTTTGCATATCAACAGGTGAGCTATCTGTTGCAATATAAATTTTTGAGACAACATCAAACAGGAAAGCCTTTTCAATTCCAGAGTTCTGTATAAATGTAATGCTATTATAAATATATATTTAACATTATGGAAAGTTTATGTAATACTATTGTATTTAAAGAAGAATGAAGTTCTCCATTTTGTTTTACCGATATGAGTATATTGAGTAAATTTTCTAAAGTAGGCAGTTGTGGTATTAATTTTTGGACAACTTTACTGAATGCTTCAAATATACTGTGATCATATATCGAAGTCAAGTGAAAACTCAAATGTATTTGATCACATCCTAAAAAGAATTATATTTGATTAATATAGGAATAATATTGATTTCTTTAATAATTTTATTTTTAATATTCTTTAATTCTTTTATATTCTCTTATATATTGGTATCTTCATGTATTCTTATATCCTCTAATTTTATTTACCAGCATCTGCTAAATCGTCATTTGCTCTTGTATGTATATCTCTTTGTGTTTCCATCTTACAATCATCTGATAATCCATCTACTTTATGTATAAAAACTTCAAATTTGATTGCTTGATTAACTTTATAAGCTTTTGTAACTGTCAAGTGAAGCTTATTAAGTGCCTCCATATAATCATCCTGAGCATCTATCACAAATACCAACGCTCCACAACCACCAAATATCATATCACTATCAAAAGTAGGGTCAAAAAAATCAATTTGTCCAGGAAAGTCCCATATTTGAAATTGTACAAAGCTTGAATTGCTTATATCATCTTTAATTATTTTATTTGTACTTTCTAAAAATAGTGTCTCATTTGGTGACATTTTGTGGAACACCACCTTTTGTATCGATGACTTGCCACTACTACAAAACAAAAATAAAGTTATTGAGTAGATAAATATCAATTTAATGAGTTAATACAATACAAACTTACTGCATAGTAAATAATCTTACCGTCTAAGACCCATCAAGAGTATTCTAGGTTTTTGTTCTCCTGCTAATGGATCCATAGATCCTTCAGTTTCCCCATCAAATGGTGCATATCCAAAATCTTTAGGAAAAGAACCAACATCATAACCACTTTGATACTGATCATCGTCATCCTATAACAATATTGCATCATTTTAAAAATCTATATACAAATATGATATTTTCATAAAACTAAAAAATATAATTGGAGAATTTTCAACATATAAATTAGGAATATATTCTCTATTGTTGTTAATCTTAAATATTAACAAGTATAACTGTTCATTCTTAGAACATGTCTTTCTAAGTTATTTAAGCATAGAAATGCCTACAAACAGAAACGATAATATTTTTATATCTTTTTAGACAATACTAATCAGCTGTATCGTCGTTTCTCGTAACAAAGGCTGTAATAAAAAATGTAGTAAATCCACTTACCATGTTTGTGGTGTTGAAGCAAACGTAGTATGTGATTCCAATTTTTCTCTTAGCAAACTATAAATCTCAGAAATGTCGCAACTCCACAATATATTTATTTAATCGAGATTAAACATGCCGAAAAATTACATGAACTACAAAATTAGATATATATCTTTGTTTATAGTTTAGGGGTGTGATGTTTGATATATAGATAGTATATCGCTTGGAGTGTTGATTGGTCCTAAGATCTATAGTATATGTAACAGAACTATAGAGATTTTCGAACAGGTTGGCAATCATTTAACTTTTCCCTAGGAATAAAGATGTAAAACCAGCGGCACATGATGTTCATTTTCGTGCTGGGTAGCGATCATGAATTTTTTCCGCTAGTGTGAACTCGTGAAAGATGAAAACCTTCACTAAACTCGTGAAAAATGAAAGATTTAACGTGAATTTGTAAGTAAAACAAATATTACAATATACTCAAGACAACACCAATTTGCAATGGACATCTTTAGAATTTTTCAGCATGTTTTTAAGACATAGTGATGTCTTTAGAACGACCCTTAGAAATCTGCTTATCTGGGATTACTTTAGAATAAATTATTAAAAGATAAAATATTCTATTCATATTAAAATTATAAATGTGCAGAAAATATATATTTCATATAAAATAATATATAAAATACATGCAATAAATACGTAAAATAAATTTACATTTTACTTACTGCATACAATTTATAATATATTACACTTTAACTTTCTGATGCATACGTATCTTAACTTTACAACTTCGTTGGTATGCTTTCACTATCTATACGTCATCACGCTTCAATTGGCTTTCGTTTCATTTTTAATGGACGTAGGATTCTTATGTCAAATACCAATTGTCGTATAACCATAAAAATTAAAGTCACTATAAGAAATTCTACTCACTTTGTACATAGGCTGCGTTCCGAAATGCACTGCCAGTACTGAAAATTTATAGTTCATGTTACGTATATTATAAAATTTCAGTACTGGCAGTGAATTTCGGAACGCAGCCATAATATGCGAGTGTAGTATTACATTATTTTTCACATTTAAACCACATCGCTTGATGCTTAAAAATTTTCATGGAAACTTACACAATTTACATATAAAGAAGAACATATGCGAGCAAACTGAAAGTTCACGTGAAATATTTCACGTTTTGAGAATTCATCTTTCACTAATGTTAATGTTAATGTTCGTCCCATTTATTAAATTTACTCATATTGTATTATTATATTATATTATAACTATAAATTTAAGTTGTATAATGCTTATTAATGTGTTATATATTACATTGTATATACTGTAATTACATTTTAATTTTAATAATCTATATTACATAAATATTGCTTTCCACATTTTCATTGTTTACTTTTCATGTGAAATAACTTACAGTGAAAAGTGAAAAATGAAAATGAAGTTCACGTGAAAGATTCATGATCGCCACCCTGGTCCCTATTCTTGAAATTTTTTGCGTATATACATGTAATTTTCATTGCGCAGCTATTTTATAGTATGATTAAAGCTACGCAGTAAAACTTACGTGTACGCAACTATTTCAAGAATAGGGGCCCTAGTTTGCTTGCTGGATGGAAATACTCATTATAATTTTACTTGATATATTTCCATCCATCTTCAGAAATGCACCAATCAGAACAGAGTATTTCCATCTAGCAAACAAACTAGCACGAAACATGCATCGTGTGCCGTTAGCTTATGTAGAATTCACACCGCAGCCGATGTCCGATGTACGACGTCCGATATCCAATAAAAGAATAGCTTTCCAATGGAGAATTGAATTCTATATTAGAAAGCTGTTCACCTATTGGATATCGGACGCGGTATGAATCCTGCATAATGAAGGAAATAGCATCGATGTCCGACATACGACGTCCGATATCCAATAGGAAAATAGCTTTCTAATAGAAAATTCAATTCTCCATTGGAAAACTATTTTTTTATTGGATATCGACGTCATATATCGGACATTGGACGCAGCGTGAATCCTCCGTTATTTCTTCAAAAAAATTTCGTAACGCTTCTGATATACAATAAAAGAATTTATTTTTTAAAGCTAAAAAATGGTCTACCCTAGAAAACAATTGAATAAATCTATATAAATTTAAATAAAAACTTAAAATAATTTAATTCAATAGCTTTTAATTCGTCTAAAAAATATGCCAAACACTGACAATGATGATGATTGAACTATTTATAAATATATATGTAACTCTTAGTATAGTTAAGAACTATATGTACATATTTTTATAAATTCAAAATTACATTGGTCATGCTTTTCTTTGATGAACTGCATTTATTTTAGTTAAAAAATACTCAGAAGAATTATCACTTAGGAATCTGTAAACAATATAATTTATCTATTAAAAGTACAATCAAATATGTCTTCATAGCAATGACGCCCATAATTGGCGAACTTTCGTAAGAAAGATCTATAATTCTTTGTTTGGCTGTCTTTGCTTCGGTATCAGGCTTTTCGTACAGAAATATATGCCTTGCATGTTCTGCTATAGCTATGTATGAGCCATCTGTAATAAAATTTCAGTTCAGTTAATGTTATTGTCTTTCTTTAGTTATTTCCGGAATGTATTTAAAAATTATTTTTTGATATCTTACCAATCGGAGCAACACAAAATTTCTTGTTAGTTTTACTAGCTTCAACATAGCCAAATCCAGGAAAGTTATGAATATGTCTGATGTCCCACTGAGTACCATCATCACACGTATCGTCTGTTACCCAAACACAAGCATCATGATCTTGCCTCAAACATATCACTTGTCCGTGTTCTCTTTCGCACGTAAATAATACATGATTATTACTTCCCAATCTAGCCAAGTGTGTAGTTGTTCGTGTAGAAAGATCAATTCTTTGTAAAAAGTTATCTCTCCCTTCCAGATCACACTCCTCTAATTGTTCAGCATTGAAGCCTACACAAGGTTGACCTTCTCTAATGCTGTCACTTTGCTGATCTGTGCACAAGTGTGCTAACCTTTAAACGATGATCTTATGTATTATTTCAATAATCATTTAATAATCAACTCTATGGCTACATATTATTTATAAAATTTTATTATACAATTAAATACGAATGGAAAGTTACTAGTGAAAAATGTTAACAAAAGTTAATTATGTATTATAAAAAAACTATTAATAATTAGCAATGAAGTTATACACAATATATATAACCAGATGTATATATTATAAAAAATACCTCTCATGAATCTCTGCAGCAAGAGTCTCATTTGGCACGCATTCACCTCCTGTGTCACCTTTAATTAGTTCACTCCACATTAGTCCATTTTCATATTTGCTTAAATCAATCTGCAATGTGTTTTCTTTATACCTCCAAGTTGCCATATTTTCTTCTAATCTATGTTCGCATTCTCCTTGTATTAAAATTTCATTACTTATTGCAACAGATAATTCTAATGGCTTAACACTTATTTTAGGCTGTTTGGTACTATGCTGCTTTGGTATTTTAACCCAAACAGTAAGTGAGTCTTCATCTTGTGACCAGTAATATTTTGGAATCTTTATTTGTGAATCAATATTTGGTTGTTCTGTCTTTACTTCAGATTTCTGTGTGTCTCCTTCATCAAAACAGATATTATCTTGGCAAATGGAATGCAAATAATTACCATTTTCTTCCATATAAGCATAATCTATAGTACCTTGTACTTTCAATATCTGTTTATCAATGTAAGAAATATTTTTTACTTTATTTTCTACATACTGTAAGTTATATGATAACAGTGTGAGCTGGGTATATTTCTTTACATCATTATTGATAATAGTAGACATGATTATAATAATCCTTGAACTTTTTTGTACATGTTGCACATTCATGATAATCCCAGGTTTTACAGGATCCATTGAAAAAACTTTCACATTTTGTTCTGTATTTCCTATTAATATATCTAGCTTTTCACCACCATCAGAAATTGCTGAAATTCCATTACAAGTAAATCCAATAGATGGGTTATATGTTATTTTTGATAAATCAGTTTTTGTGGTATGTAATATATGTATTTGATTAAAGGAATTGTGCTTATCAAAACGCCAAACAGCCCAATCTTCATCAATAAACCAACATGACATATCATATGCATTTTTATACAGATGATTATGAAATGCAAATAGTCTTGCTTCCAGCCAAGATTCTTGATTTTGATTTGGCTCTAACCTATATACATCTGAAATATCATTCTTTTATAGCAAAAAGATGTATATTTTCATATTTATAAAAAGTATATATATATTTTATGATGTGTGTTAAGATACAAAATAGACTTACGTTTCTTTAAACTGATTTCAGAAATTATAGGAACGATTTCGGTACAAAATTGATATTTTTCAAAAGACAAATTTATCAAATTTTTATTAGGACGTAACTCAATTACTTCTGTCATTGTATCCGTTTTATATGCTATAATTTTAAAATAACACTTTTGATAGAACAATCTGACAGGCTGTAGATCTGTTCTTTGTAACTGTACTGCTGAACTCTAGTGCAATAAGTTAGAGTAAAAAAACATATACTTGTCTCACTTCAATTTATTGCACCAGTTTAGCAGTGCAGCTACAAAGAACATGCCGTGTGTTCACTTTGAACGCTTTCGTACCGACAGTAATGGTCTGTTCTTTGTAGCTGCACTGCTGAATGATGGAAATACTCTGTTTTGATTGGTGTATTTTCATCCATCTTTAGAATGTGCCGCTGGTTTAATATAAATTATAGGTTTTCAATATCATTTTGACACTAGATAGCGCGATGATTGCAAGTTACATAATTAAAAAAAATATATATATATTTACGTTCTCTAAATTTTATACTATATAAAGATCGCTTATATATATTACAAAAATATTTATAGTATAAAAACAATTAAAAAATTGTATTCTAAGTTGCTTAAATTAAAGTAATTAAAGATATTAAAGTAACGTATATTTATAACAATTTAATTGTATTTTTACAATACACTGGAAAATATGAATATATATATATATGTATATATATGTACAAATATAAAAAAACATTTTTATATAAAAAAAATATGTATATAGAATAAAAAATATATTACTCTCAAATATTATTTCCCTTTCCCAACAAATTAAAAATAGTTTTCCTTAATATATAAACTCCATTAATTCCCCAGCGGGCGTGTAGTAGCACTGAGTGTTGCAGTTTGAGTTATTAAACAGGTAATGTTACAGTTTTTTGACAGTCGGTTTAAATAAAGAAATAAATTATTTGTATTCTTAAAATTGATTTTAACTTATTCATCGCTCTTGTAACATGACCTTAGCTCATTGATACGTTAATTTTAAAGATGCAACACTGAGTGGCAACACACGCGCCCGCCCATAAGTATGCACTAAAGGTGCGCCCGCTGTAAGATTAAATATTAAATATTATTGAAATTTTTAAATCATTTGTATCTGATGAATTAATACTGTCTAACACATGAGAAGGACCTTAAATTCGTTTAGTTTCTATCTGTAATGCAGAGAATGAGATTCATTATATCTCCTATATATTACATACGTATAGATTTAGGTATATATATACACATATATACACAAATCTATATTAGTATATGTATATATATATAATTTTTACTTTCTAGAATTCTTTTATATCTTCTGATTCTATCTAGATATAGCTTCCGGAATGGAGCCGTGTCTTGAATCAGCGATGTGCCGACGTTTCGCAAACGTTGCAGTTTGCATCATCAGGGCTGAGAACTCAGTATCAGAGTTCTCAGCCCTGATGATACAAACTGCAACGTTTGCGAAACGTCGGCACATCGCTGATTCAAGACACGGCTCCATTCCGGAAGCTATACCTAGACATTGTATCAATGGCCGTGAAAGCCTCAAATCTTCTGATTCTGTATGAGTTTATCTCAGATAATTTTTCTGTATGATATTTTGGTTAACATATAAAAATATATGACGTATATATGAAGTATGACCTCGAGTCGTAAGACAAACGTAACAGAAAAATTAATTTTTCGCTAAAAATCACCTATGGTCGCAATAATATTAGATAATGCTTTCCTGGCATCATTTTCTTCAAATATGTTTAAAATTTCCATTGCTTTTTGTGAATGCTCCTTTATAAGCTCTTTGGTTAATTCAATGCCTGGACCAGCTGTTACAATTTCAAGCACCTATGCGAGATATATTGTCATTAATTCATTAATAAATCTAAAAACAAAAAATATAAAATCAATTATGTGAATCATATACTGTCTTTTGTACCTTCAAATAGTCGACATTTTCAACTGATTTAAGTCCTTTTTCAAGTTCTGCTAAGATTGATGGATCATGTTCCACATGAAACATAATTGGTGCAGCGCACAAATTATACAAAATCGCTTTGTCTTTGTTAGTGCATAAGACTAAATCTAAGTAAGCCTGTAAAAATGTTATCATAAAATTATTTATAGAATTATTACAAAAATATATAAGATTAGGATGTATTTTCTTCAATGATATTACCTGCCAAGCTAAAGAAAGGTGCTGACCAAATTTGCGACCTTCCTGCTGTATTTCATTATTATGTCCAGCTAATCTCAATGTACCTTGGCAACTATTTCCAAGTAACGACCCAGCATCATAAATATTTAAAAGTTCCCATTCTTTCAATGCATAGCCTGTACGATCTTTAGGTGGTATCGATGGTATAGGATTATTCTGACTATCTCTGCGTGCTATAAATTCTGCTTGAGCCAATTCTGCCACTATAGAAGCTATTAAAAACAGAACCTGAAAAATAACATCTATAGTAATAGATATTTTTATAAATTAAAAAACACAAATAGTTATACATGTGGATTAATTTGTATAAAGTATTTGCAAATAGAAAAAATAATGAATATGTGTAGTATATACTTACATCCTGATTTTTAAGAGTTGCACATTCAACACAACTACTGCCAAGGAAATAATCACCACTTAACAAAGCTATTTTATTACCAAATAACATATTGTCCATTTCTGAAGCTCCCAATGATCCATCTACATTTATATTTACCAGTCCCCTATGTATCAAACTACTAATGCGTATCATCTCTATAATTCCAGCCAATGTTCTTTGGCTGAAATATATTTTTGATGATATAATCTTTATGCATACAAAATAATAATAATAGTGAAACAAAAAGAAGCTTTTTCTTTCAAGATACATAGACACAATGTTATATATCTCTACAATTAGCACAATTTATTATTATTATATATATTATACCTATGTAATACACCTGCTGATTTGTCTTCTTCTATATGATTTACATTTAGATGGCCAGCAGCTTTAGATATTAATAGTACAACAAGACCAAATGCTTGTACATTGTTATGTCCACTAAAAATAATATTTCTGCAATAAAAAAAACAAAACATAAATAAAATCTCTATTTTTTATTCTTAAGAAAATGTTATAGTACTTACTTAGCTGTTTTTAGCAAAGGATGATTAGATCCAACTAACTTTCTCAAATGTAAAGCAATATTTGCAATTTCATCGCTTAATAGCCATTTTAAACTTAAAAAAGATGTTGGATATCCAACAATTTTTTCTGCTTCTGAAATAGCTTTATTCCAATTTAATTTCTTATTTGTTGTCATGATTGTTGCTGCTGCTGTTGCTGATTTCTTCTCACTAAGGAGAAATCTTTGTTGTGTGGAGACACAGATTGTTCTCTGAATTCGGGAAATATCATGTATCTTCCACAAAGTCATAGGATTATTTTTTCTCCAGAGTCTCAGTACAACCATATTTGCAGACATTATTGATCTTATTTATTGAGCTTTGGCTAGTAAAGAATCTATTAAAAAATCAATCAATCAGACAGTACTCTAAATTTAATAAAAAGAGTATGAGGTAGCAGAACTTTCTCTTGTGACCTAATTTTCAACCATTTTTCATGTAACCATGTCATACCTTACTTTTACCTTAAAAAATATAATATACTGTACACATTTATAAATTTTGGCCAATAATAAAAAATATTAACATTAAATTAACAGCTATAAGATATAAATGAATACCTTATATGGAAATTTTATTCAAGCATAAAATTATAATGATTCTGATATTAATTCTCTGATTTCGTCGATTTAACTGCGAATTTTGCCTCAAGAACGAAATATTTAGTAAAAATAAGAGCTTACTGACATATGCTAGCAAAAATAACAAAAGGAATTGATTCATGTCGTAATAAAAAATAAGGTCAAATATTTGATTTACACATATGTAAGTTAATGACACCTGAATAATCGTATAGATAAAATTAAGATATCTTCGTTTAATTTAACGAGACTTACTGTGTGTTTACTGGACGGATAAAATAATACCACAGAAACGGAGTCTCTCGACGTTCGTTTAAATCGTATTGCGAACCTAGAATGTTACTATCCAGATGATTTTTGTAGACATATGATATGTAGATGTAAACGTAAATAGCACGAACAGAAAAATAAGCCAATTACATGACTTCATAAAAACTAGCTCTTCATGCATCAGGTGCATGAATGGTCGATTTCTCCGTGCAAATGTTTACGTATTGATGTCGCATAGTGTCAAACATTTGGCCAATCAGTAAAAATGAGCGATATTGGGTGCTTTTTAGTTATGGGTTACAATCCATTAAACATTGCAAACACTTTTAAGCGCTTTAAAAGAAGCTATGATTGGTCTAAATTGCTCTTCAAGTACTTGTAGCGTCTAATGGATCGCGTCTCTACATTATATTACACAAAGCTAGTTTATTGGTTGTATATTATCTTGCAAGATATTTTAGGGAGCTTTCCAATTGCAATATTCCTAGACACTTTCATGTACACGGCGACACAAGTTAAGCCCATTTTACAATTGTGTAAGCGTAGTCGTGATCGTAAGAGTCAACCAATCCGAATGTTTTATTTACTGATAGCTTTATTCTGATTGGTGTCGTAATCACATACAACCACTTACAACCACGTTCACGCAATGTAGAATGAGCTTTACATTCCAATTGTCGTAATCGTTGACAAAACGCTACACATCCGTACTCAGCTCGAGGCTACGGGTGTATATCAGTTGGACACGGGGCAATTGGACACAGTCCAATCACAAGTCGCTGTTCCAAGGGACCCTACAAATGTCTCTAATCACACGGTGCTGTGATTGGCTATGTCCAAATGTACCGTGTCCAAGTGCACCGCTCCCGTAATAATGAGGGGTTACGAAGAGCCGAGTGATCGATTGGGATTGGTCGATTTCTTTACGCTTACGTTTTAAGTTCTTACGGAATTTTGTGTGTGATGGCCTTAATGTTTGCCGCGCGGCGGAAGTCCGCAGGATAGCCAATCAATATGTTGTTTTTCCGTAAGAGCTAGAAGGTTATTACGGAAAGCAGCATATTGATTAGCTGTCGCGCGAACTTTCACCGCGCGGCAAGCATTACCGCGTCCTGTGCAGGAGCCATAAGTATAAAAGTGTAAAAAATTCAATTAATACGAATAAACTTATTGGATATTAGCTATTTTCAGACAATTTACACCTTCAAAGAACGTCCTATGAATACTCTGATGACGTCCCTCCGTCCTGAAAATGTCTTCAGAGTGTATTTTGGAAAATTTGTGTTGTTTGAGGTGCACTAGTGTGTAACGATGGCTTCTGTACACAGGACGCGGTAATGCTTGCCGCGCGGCAGAGGTTCGCACGACAGCCAATCAATATGTTGTTTTTCCGTAAGAGCTAGAAGGTTATTACGAAACCAGCATATTGATTAGCTGTCACGCGAATGATTTTCTGCCGCGCGGCAAGGATTACCGCGTTCTGTGTGCAGGAGCCATTAGGTGTAAAAGTGTGAAAAATACAAGCAACTCGAACAAATCTAAATATATTTTTTCTTTAACTTATTGCACCAGTCAGCTGAAAAGAACAGACCAATTGTTTCATAGCCGCGTTCCGTTTCACGTATATGCACGCGTTTATCTACAGTTCATGTCACGTATATTGTAGAAAATGCGCGCATAATGCGTGAAACGGAATGCAATCTCAGTATTGCGAACGAGTCTTTTTTTGCGCATGCGCAGCGAAATGATAAGAAACTAAGGTTAACTTATATCAAGGTTATGTTGTGATAATCCCAATTACATGATCGCCACAACATATCGGCTCCAAATGACATTTATTATTCTAATATTTATTTAATATCTCGTCTGAAGCTGCATAGAAGAATTTGAGAGAAAGAGGAAAAAAATGATAAGTATATTGTGCAGCCGTTTATTACGCGAAGCACCGCGAAACAGTAAGCTGTGGATCACAACAAGAAATACGTATCTCACTAGTATTTCAACACGATTAAGATTATTCAACAAATTCTACGTTGCGGGTCACAATCCTGTGTTTTCACTTTTCAACGTCCGGGTAAATTAATAAACAATTATACATACTTAGATTTTATATATGCTAATATTTTTAACATACTATCACTTGTACTTTTATTTATTACGTTCCATTTTAACAATTATATCGACCGGAGCCATTCTATCTTAGTTTTTCTCTGGATATTAAATAAAAAAGAAATGCATATGTCGATATGATTGTCAAATGGAACGTAGCCAAAATATTACAGTTAAAATATATTTCATGATTTTATATAACGTCACTTTTAGCTTCATGCAATTTCATGTATCAGAGTACAAAAAAAATATGTAAACATATGATACAATATAAAAAACAATGTATAAAGATTGCTGTTATATTGCTCCTACAGATATAATATACCTACTTATATACAATGGGTCGTACGTCAAGGAAACGTCACCAAAAGAAGAAGCTGGACTTTGTAAAATTGAATGAGAACATTGATGATTCTTTAATGTGTTTAAAATCTTTGCTTCTGAATGAAAATTGCTTATTGATTCATCATTTAATACCAGAGTATTTTCCTGTTACAGGCAGAGGCTTAAAAACATTAAAGCATATAAATAATAATGAAGTACTAATACAACTGCCATTTCATATGTTGATAACAACAGATGTGTTGTTACAGAGTAATATTAGAATTTTATTTCTTAATAATATCATGGATGCCTTTAGTCCTCAGTGTATGCTCTCAGTATTTTTGATATATGAAGCCCATTTAGGGATAAACTCAAATTGGTATCTTTACCTGAAAACTTTGCCACAGTCCTTCACAAATCCAGATTTTTGTTCTAATAAGGAAAAAGAAATTTTGCCAAATTACATTTTAGATTCTTTGTATCAGGCACACAAATTGAAAAATGATTTCTTTCTACTGATAAAAGCTATAAAAAACTTAGATGTGACTAACAAGAGCCATTGTACGCATTGTAATGTGCATATGCAAAAGATAATAACATTTGCAAGGTATAAATGGGCATATTATGTTGTTAATACTAGAGCAGTATATATAGACACTAAATTATACAAGATGAATAAATTTAACACGAAACAGCCTAATAATCTAGCTCTAGCACCGTTTTTAGATTTATTTAATCATGATGTAAATACTACTGTCGCGGTATCTATTATTAAGGACAACACTGAAAAGCAATTTTATCAAATCGTTACTTTGAAGTCCTTTGATAAAGGATCTCAAGTTTTTATCAACTATGGCGCACATAACAATCTGAAATTATATATTGATTATGGATTTTTCATTCCGTGCAACCCACTGGACGAGATTCACTTCGATATTTCTGATTTACAGAGATGTTTAGACATCCCAGAGAATAAGTTAGATTTTGTTACATCCAATAATTTCCACAAGAATATGTCATTTACTCGAGACGGTTTAAATTATAACGCAATAATAACGCTGTTTGTATCGAGTACAAGATTAGGGCGAGATAGTTGGAAAGTGAAGATATATGGTGGAACGTTAGATTTGGATGAACAAAATGTAATTCATAAGCTAGGAATAAGTGTGTTAAATTTGAAGAGAATGGAATATACATATGCTTTAAGTAATATGAGAAACGTGGAACATAAAACTCCGAGTTTTATAGTCGCGGTCGGTCTTGTAGAGGAATTTATTAATATCCTGGATACATCACTCAATTCTATGGAAAGAACAGTAAAATCTTTATATACAGAAAATAATCTATAGTATTTTTTAAATTCATTTATTATTTACGTGACATATTAGATGTCTGCGTAATATAATATAGAATATGTACTTTTTGTACATGTAATTCTATCAAATGTAAAAGATTTAATTCACCCCTCCCTCTTTTTTATAAGACGTTATAACAACAATAAATTGTAATTAAATCTTTAATTTGTCTTTTATTCATTATCCATCATGAGATATAATTCATCGATGTTTTAGAAATGTTAACTACTTTTCAATGTAGATTCATTTTTCCATGTATCTACAAATTTGTCAATATACAAATATACAAATGCATACTTGTGCCTTTTAGTCGTGTCGTTTGACTCGTCTAAAGTACAACTAAGATCGTGCATAATGTAACTTAGGCTTTGTTGTTCTACAGTGTTGCAGTGGCAATGTGATAGAGCGTGCTCAAAAGAAAAGCGTACCGCAATCAAAATCTGTCGTACCGCCGGTGAAATTCACGTCGGTTGTCGCCAGCCTGACCGGAGCTAAGCCTGGCCAACAGAAAAGGAATTGTTTCCATCCTGGTGTGTCTAGTTTAAGTAGAGATGCAATCAATTTGCGAGATAAACCGCCAGTCACTAGTACAGACATGCTCAAAGCCATGCTTAAATACATCTGGCCAGAGGTAAGTGACACATTACTTGTTATATGATCATTCTATATTATTCATCACACATGATCGTTGCAGGATGATCCAGAGATACGGAAGAGAGTTAAAATAGCGGTGGGTTTGCTTATAGGGGCCAAGGTTTCAAACGTCACTGTGCCATTTATCTTCAAGTATGCAGTGGACGTCTTAAATACTCATAGCATAGCAACCACGGGCACTGCTGTGATGGGTTTAACAACCGCACCCGCAACAGTTGCAACTGTAGCAACGTCGCTGCTCGTAGGATGTAAGAGAGAACTATCCAGACTATAACATTTTAGCAAAAGAATTCATGATACGATATATCGAATAATTCTAACTTACATAGATGGAATAGCGCGAGCCGGAGCGGCCGGTTTCAGCGAACTGAGAAACGCAGTCTTTGCAAAGGTTGCGCAGCACTCTATCCGTAAAATAGCAAAAAATGTTTTCCTACATCTGCACAATCTCGATATGGCCTTTCACCTGAGCAGACAAACCGGCGCTTTGTCGAAGGTAATACTTCATTTAGCTTTCCACTCTTTCCACTAGTTAATATTAAGAAGAACTATTCTCATTATGTGTATCCTTCTTTTTTCAGACGATAGATCGCGGTAGTCGTGGCATCAATTTTGTTTTGAACGCCATGGTATTTAATGTTGTGCCCACAGTATTTGAATTGGCATTAGTTAGTACAATATTGGGAATAAAATGCGGACCAGAATATGCGGCTGTGGCACTGGGTTGCGTGAGCGTTTACACCGCGTTTACTCTAGGCATTACGCAGTGGCGCACCAAGTTCAGAATTCGTATGAATCAGGCGGAAAACGAAGCGGGCAATAAAGCAATTGATTCGCTCATCAATTATGAAACAGTAAAAGTCAGTAACAATGTGATAAAATTCACGCAATTTCTTTCACAGAGATCCTCTTCGAAGAGAAACAGAAAGAATATTAAGATTTATTTTTCTCTACTTTAGTATTTCAACAACGAAAAATTCGAGGCGGAACGATACGATCAATCATTGAAAAAATATGAAACGGCATCCCTCAAGACCAGTACGAGCTTGGCGATGTTGAATTTCGGTCAAAACGCCATTTTCAGCGGTGCATTGAGTCTTATAATGGTGATGGCAGCGCACAACATAATAAATGGTAAATATACCACGTAATTACATTCAAGTTATATTATTTGTTCCTGCAACATCGATAGGAACCTAAATTTCAGTCGATAGTTATAGTACAATCAGTACACGCATGTTGTGTAATATATTTCTATCTCTTTGTACCAGGTACTATGACCGTTGGAGATCTTGTGATGGTGAATGCCTTATTGTTCCAACTTTCGGTTCCATTAGGATTTTTAGGTTCGGTTTATCGCGAAGTGAGACAAGCTTTTATCGACATGCAAAGCATGTTTACTTTAATGACAACAGACACCGCTATTAAAGTAAGATAGCACGAATACAAAATATCGAGTGTCTTGTTCAAACTCCATCAATAAAATAATCTGTTTTTGTTTTGTGAATAATGAAATAATTCTTGGAATTTTTGTCGACAGTCGAAGGAAAATGCAATAAAATTTTACGTGACGCCAGATTCTTCGGATATTCTCTTTAAAAACGTAGGCTTCCAATATGTTGAGGGTAAATCTATCTTCAAAGACGTATCGTTCACCATACCAAGCGGCAAAAAGGTTGCTATCGTGGGAGGATCTGGTTGTGGGTAAGGTATTGGATATATAAATTACACTTAATGTGGATTACTAAATGTAAATTTTAATAACAAGTACCTATATATACAGTCGTTGTTTGTAATATGATTATTTCTCATACAGTTTGTCATTTTCTTTTTTTTTAGCAAAACAACGATTGTGAGACTGCTGTACAGATTTTTCGAGCCACAGAACGGTAACATTTATATCAACGGCCATGACATCCGGGATGTCGATCTAGATGATCTCAGGAATTGCATTTCAATCGTACCTCAAGTATGAAATGATTATAATTTTCTCATTTATATAAATGTGAATTGTATGCCCATTCGGCACCTTTACGTAATTTACGGATTACAGGATACTGTACTTTTCCATGAAAGTATATTCTACAATCTACATTATGGTAATTTGAGAAAATCGCGCGATGAAGTTTTCGAAGCTGCGAAAATGGCAAACCTGCACGATTCTATATTGAAATGGCCGCAAGGATACGACACGCCCGTAGGAGAACGCGGTTTAAAATTAAGCGGAGGGGAAAAACAGAGGGTCGCCATCGCCAGGGCAATTCTAAAGGACAGTCCTATTCTTATTTTTGACGAAGCTACTTCTTCACTGGATTCTATTACAGAACATGTAAATCCTCAAATAATATATCTGTTATTGTGTTACGTGAAGAACTTCTTTAAGTTGAATTAGTAGTGTTTCTTTCGATTTAAACAAATATTTTATTTGCAGAACATACTGGACGCTTTGCGTAAAGCAACAGAAAAACGGACATCAATCGTAATCGCGCATCGTTTAATGACTGTTATGGACGCTGATGACATACTCGTTTTAGATCAGGGTAATTTGGTCGAAAGAGGAACACATAATTCTCTACTATCAACACCGAATTCCCTCTACAGCAAATTGTGGGATACACAACATTTAGGACATATAAAGAAACATAGTCACGTACAAGAAGAAAGAAATACAGGCAAACAGTCTAATTAAAGACACGATAATATAGGTAAAAATGTACTTTTATCAAATGTGAAAGTTTTAATCTTGATAAAAATTTAATAGAGTATTTTATGATTAAAACTCGTCAGACACGAAATATACAAGTTATTTCAGGTGATAATAAACCATTGCGATACTGTATAAATGTAAAATTATACATAGGCAATAATATTTATCCTGAAGTCAGTGTACATATTAGAAATAATGTTAATTAGTGATTGTAAATCAATGACATATATTTGATTAAATTGTTACAAATAGTACACACACACACACACACACATTCATCATATGTCTTTTCATGAGTGACTGAAGCCAAACAAAACTGATTACTTTGTGAATAATTTATATATATTTGTGATTATACAAGTGTTAACTGCCATCATTTGTATAGTCCATTTGTAAAAATATAAAATGTATTAATAAACAAGGACCATAAAGAAATAAAGAGAGATATATGTATGCCAAACTTAGGATACATTAAGAAAAGCATTGATTATTAAATGCTTGTGTAGATGTTGCCTTGACAACCATTCGAAACAGTAATGGATGCCGACTAGACTGCAATGAGTTTGACAGTTTTGTAACAACTCGATACTATAAAAGATGAATCGCACGCGATTACAATGCGAGTTGTAATTTAAGTGTACGAATATAAAATGCAAACTGAAGCGTCTACATTGCCAGTAGTACAGCTTAATGCGCATAAAAAATCTGATAGGTAAATGAAATATTTGTAAAATATTCTACTGTTGTTTAACATGTAGATGAATTCTATACGTTGTAAACGTTTGAGATTATTATTTAATATAAGTGTTCATATGATGTATATCACAATATAGAAAGATCATAAGTTAAATTCATTAAATATAATACATATAAATTGCAGAATATCAAAGTGTAATTCAAAAAACTCAACTCTGGAATCTAAAAAGCTCTCCTCTTGCGGAAATACATTATTTACATCGAACAAAAAATGCTTAAAACCTCTGCTCGGTTTGTATAAAAAGTTAGTAGAATACAGTCATTATTTCATAATGTTATATAATGTATATTTATGTATAGGTGGACCATATAAAAGCAGTATCAAACAGCAATCGCTATCAGATGAATCAAAATCTAGTAACAAAAGTTTTCTTGGGCAAAGGGTAATGTCGGCAAAAATACTTCGTTTCAAACAATTACAAAACCAGTTAGCCGATGCACATTACCATCTGAATGTAGGTATCTAAGATACATCAATATCAACTAAATACTGAGCTTGTTTATATAACATAGAATTTGATTTTGTAGGAACTTGCGAATGAAAACAGATTACTCAAAGCATTGCAGAAGAGACAAGATTCTGCACTGAGACGTTATGAAGGAACGAATGCAGAACTACCAAGACTTATAAATTCACATCATGAAGAGTTAAGAATACTTCAAACAAAATATAAAAAATTGAAAGAATTGCACAAGGATACATGTAACTTGCTAAAAGAGAAAGAAAATGAACTTTATACTGTGAATGTAGGTAGTTTTAGTATAGCATTCACACAATGAAATATATTATGAATTTATGAAAATTTTACTTTGCAGTCGCAAAATAAACATCTACTACAGCTCAGTAAAGATCGAAATCTCGGAGAAAGAGAAAAATTGCAGTTGCAAGTATCTGACTTGAATCATGAAATACAACAGCAACAGGAAACCATACAGGTAATATTCAATATTTTCTCAGTAATAAGCAACGTAAATTAAATAATCATAATGTGAATAATTTACTTACATTTTATATATAAGTGTATTTTATCATATTTTATTTACAGTTATTACACAGGAAGCTGGCACTTGAAACCAAGAGTTTGAAGCATCAATTACATGTTGAGATTTTTAAACACAAAGAGACACAGAAGAATTTGCAAGAAACAATAGAGAAATTGAAAACTTTAGAATGTTTATTAGACAATAGAGAAAAGAGATTATATTATAATGGCCAGTTGCCAATTTATAACAAAGAGAAGAATCTAGGTAGTCATTCTTCCACAAATCTTAGTGATATCAGGTACTAAAATTACATACATATATATATTTGGTTGTAATAATAATAATATATAATAAAATAATATATAATAAAAATAATATATCAAATAGGTATATATTAAATATGTAATATATTATATTTTAGTGCCTCCAATGGAGTTAAAGTACTAGGCAGAAATAAAAGAAGTGAAAATGGCACACCAAAGGACAATCTAGTGAGAATAAGTAACAGTAAATTACATGTACTGCAACGATTCTACAAACTTAAATTATTATTATTAATTACAGCCACTACTTGATACCCTGGAATCTAATGATGATGAAAAAGTATCAAAAACATATAATGTTAACCACTCGAGAAATCAACTAAAATCAGAGACAATGGCGAGCCTGCATCAGATACGAAAATTTCGACTACAAAAGACACCACACATGCATAAGCATGCTCATTCTATGAGTGATTTGAGGTCCAGATTTAAGGATCCAGAAATAGAGGTATTAGACAATGAGAAGGTGACAATGTATCAAGATGCAGCAGTAGACTTTCAGTCAATGCCAAAAAGAAATAGCTGTAGTAATGATAAAAACGAAAGTAGCAGATTGAGGAAATTATTTAATAGAATGAAAAGTCAAACTTCGCAAAATTTACAAAAAGAAATAGAGCTTGAATCCGACTATTCATCTGATAACGCAGAAAGTGATAATGCCAACGAACATAATATCGAATATTATTCTACGGATAGTGCACAAAAATCTAGAGAATTACATGCAAGGTATGTGATATCGATCGTCTTTTTTTTATCTTGCACATGTCTATGTTCGTGAACAGTCAAAATATAATTATAAAATTTTATATTATAATCGTTCTGCTATGTCTGTTTTATAGATTAATTAACGGTACAGATGATACGTACGGTACGTCCGATACTTTGGATGGTATAATGGAAAGAATAGATAACCATTACAGCGACAATGAAGAAGAAAAAGAATTAAGCATATGTCTGGTGAAAAATTTAGCGTTTCAGAAACGCAAGTACAAGAGCAAATCAGATATATCGCAGCATCATAAACCTAAAGAATTTGACGACAGCGACTCTGAAGTTGATTCTAAGGAAAAAATAGATGGAAATGAAAATTATTCTCCTAGAGAATATAAAGCCAATTTGTCTAAATATGGTAAAAAACAATTCTCGAAATTTTCTAATAGTACCACTCATCTAGAATACATGGCTTCGGAAATCAAAGAACCATCCGAGTCAAAAAATGCAGAGTTACAGATGATACCTAGCGACGCTTTGGACGACACCTACACGACAAATGTAAAGATTCGTGCGCAGACCTCCGAAGAAACATCAGAAAAACAATTTTCGGAAATTAACGATGTAGATAACTCCTTCACGGATATCAGAAAAGAAGAATATAAGAAAGAAAAAGAGGAGAAATATACAGAAAAGAAACCAATATATACTGATGTATCACATGATAATGTTTACCATAATATATTTAAATTAAATAATGCATACGAAGAAATTAAAAGTTTGTCAAGTCCAGAAAGAGAAACTCAAAATAGCTTACAGCAAATGCATGAGGAGTACAAAACGAGAATAATAAGCTCCACAGAGGCAGAATATGTAAAAACTGAAGATTCTAAAACAATGTCTGATGAGGACAAAGACACACTAAATCATTCCGAAGAAGATTCCATGCATAATTTAGTGAAAGAATATCGTAGACTTCAAGTAGGAGAAACATCAAATATGAGAAATCATAATGATGAAGAAGAAACATTAAAAACAAATGATTTAAATGTAGAAACAAAGAATAGATTGAATGCTACATTAGAGGCAGAGAATGTTAATGCATCATCTGATAATGTGTATATGCCACATCAAACTGAACAGGCTAGCAACTTAAGAACTGAAGCAATGGAAGCAAAGCAAACAACTGACACAAAGAAAAAGATTATCAATTATAATAAAGAGAAGTTGTTAGCTACAATGAAAGCTATTGATGATAATGAAAATATTGAGTTTCTGAATCAGGGATTCAAGAATCATAACATGGTGAGCAGAATGCAAATAACACAGAACCTTTATCGAGGTATACCTACGCACTCAAAGCCAAAACAAGATGTAATTAAAGATATATTTGAAGACAACCATATAGAAAATAAAGTCAGAGGCACTTGCAGTAAATCCCATTAAGAACTTTGGGACAACTATACTGAATAGTAAATAGTATAAAATATGCTTTCTACTTAAGTTCCTCAATTCTATTAAACTTTTAATGCGAATACAACTAAAAAATGAAATATTCAAAAGGAGAAAATGCGCGTGCATTATATTTTTCTAGTGTACTGCAGTTTTTATCAATTTATCAAAGTACACACACACACACACACACACACCATTGAATATTATTAGATATATTTTACTCGAAATTACAACAAAAATGTTATTTTAAGAATCAAACAGATATTTATTTTTCAGTAGCGAGTACAATTAGAAATTTATAGGATCTATTAGTCAGTTTTTCTATTAAAAAATAAAGATATGTCTGATCTACTGGCAGGAGAGAGTTGTGTTACTTGAAATAAAATCATCTCTGATCTTTACCATTGAGGCACTTAGAAATAAAAATACCATCTAATTTATCATTGAATTATATAAAAATAAAAAGATCCTTTAATTTATTGTTAAAAGTATTACTTGAAAACAGAGTGACTTTGAGGTTAAGATAACAGGTCTAATATAGGGCGCGATCCATTAGACGCCGCAAATGCTTGAAGCGTTTAAAGAGAAACTATGGCTGCGTTCCGAAATTCACTGCCAGTACTGAAATTCTATATATACAACATAAATTATAAATTTTTAGTCCTGGCAATGCATTTCGGAACGCAGCCTATGATTGGTCTATACGGCGCTTCAAAGTATCTACAGCGTCTAATAGATCCATAATTATAAGATTAGAGTCCATTTGAAGCAACAAACTTTGGAGCGTATAAAGAATTATTATGATTGATCTATGTGACAATAATGCATTTGCAGCGTTAAGTGGATTGTATGCTAAGGGTCCAAGAGGCAACTGTAACGTCCGGATCTATTTTAGAACATTAACAATATATTATTATAGACCGGGAGGCCGACTTGTCTGATTTCAGACATCACTAGATATTATATCCCTATGTTACTAGATGTAAGTACGTGCGCATATGCATATTCGCGAGCGTTAAAACATTATAATTAAAATGCCGAATGCTGCGTGCTGCTGGAGAGTCTCGAAATCGACGGATCTCGGATCGACCCAAAGAAACCGCTATCGCTCAGTGCGATAAGCCAACATAAACAGGAGCATGAAAGCTGAATCCTAAACACCACTCAGGACACCGACGCGGTGACATCATGCAAAGGAATGAATCTCTTCCCTCGCCATAACTCCATGGACCAATCGGAGAACGACTCTCAGCGACAAAGCGACGTATAAAAGCGCGCGCATTTGTAGAGAAGGCAATATATATAATTATTTTCTTCTCATAGTTAGTCTCTGGTAGCTTCATGTACTTATTCAGTATATTATACTTAGTCGTAAAATCCGACTGTGTTGCAATTACTTTTGCCTACCCTTCATATTTCAAACGTTGCGAAATCAAATTCTGAATCGCGGGCCGCATCAACCCGCGTGGTATCGGAACATCCGAGGCCGAGCCAGGAGAACAAGCACCGCTGACTTTTCGCCAGATTCATCAATCGTTTCGCCAGGCTCCCGAGACCCAGGGTAAACTCGGTGAAAAGCAGAGTGACCCAAAAGCGGAGCCATCACTCTGTTGACCGTCCACGTAAGTCACTGATTTCACTACTTTCAAATTTCCCTATATAGTTATCTATCGTGGACGTAACACAACTAATTACTTGGCGCCATCTAGTATTGTCGAGCAAAATCTTGTTCACAAAACATAGTTCGAGTTTCAGCTAAATATGATTTAAGTCTTGATTGAAAATGTAATGTAATTAGTTCAAAAGTCTCCGCTATGAGCCACCACTATCTTCTACCAAGTTCGAACACGTAGTACAAGAAAAAAATTCATGGAGAAAGGAATGTTAAGCTTTATAACTCTCCCTTGGCCGGTGCAGTCGATCCTGGTCTCATTGAACTTATTCAGTTATTCTCTCTTAAGCCCGTATCAGACTACCGACTGCACAGGCCGACCCGACTGACGACTACGACTACCGACTTTCAATGGGCCAATCACCAACTCGGCGCCTCACTGTGATTGGTCCATTGAGAGTCGGCAGTCGTAGTCGGCAGTCGTAGTCGGCAGTCGGGTCGGCCTGTGCAGT